ATAAATTATGAATAGTTTAGTTTGTGCCTTCAAGTCGTTGCCCATAGGAAGACGTTACTTGGATATAATCTAACCGAATATCTTCAGAACAGCTCCAAATGACACAAAACTCATATGGGTGAGTAGAACATGATGTAATAACGTAAAATCGAGGACCCAATGTAAAAAAACGACGTCCCCCTTTAAAGGCTAATGCACATAAACAGCATAAACTATATGGCATCATATATGCATAATTTCCAAATAGGAAAATACTATAGCATTAAAAGATGTTTACTTGTAATTCAGTCTTGGAAGTAATATGTAATTACCATAACAATATCATCAATACATGTATATTATATGTACATACTTTTGGCACATCAGTATTATGCACCATTAACATAAATTTTGTTGTGAGGGATTTGTAAAATATGTTATATTACATGATTTATATAGACTTCATACTGACTATGCAATGTGATGTGCTTATTTTTTTATTATAAGTTAAAGTAAACTACTTATGTTATGAAATACCAATTGTGTGTCAAAGTAATGAATTTATCTTAATTTTAAAAGTATTAAGTCCCTCTGTAAATGAGAAAATCACCGTTGTTTAATGCTGTAGCGCACGTATTGTTTACAGTGCGACTGGTCTAACTAGAGAGTACCAATATGGCGGCCGGTGGCTTCACTTCAATCCCGCACTACCAGCTATCAGCAATCCAGTGAATAAATGGAGATCAGTGGTCTGTCCATACATGAGTCTGCGGGTCCATCTCTATTTATTTGGTTGTTTCAGCTCAAATCACCACTCGTCTTTTTTTCCTTTCAACTATTTGGACATCTATCCATCCAAGCTCTTCCATTTGGCAATCATTTAGCCATCTATCAGTTCCGAAGCCATTGGTAGATCATGAATTTCTCCACCTATTTGTCTGTTTTGTTTTGCCTATTTTTCTGTTTCCTATTCTGTCCAACAGTTTTTTTCTTAATCCATCCATCTGTCCATAGATCTTCCTTAATTTCTGTTATCTTCAAGATTAAAAGCATAACTGCAATTTGTACCATAAAATTCTGCTTGAAGAAGGACTGGTGGCTGTAAAAATCCAAGGCTAGAGAAGTACTTTTTTGTTTTGTTTTTTATCTATGGAAAACATGGAAGAACCCCTCTTAGATTTGTCTTGACCCAACACAAGATAACCTTTGGTTTCAAATGTCTATGGTCTTTCTGCTGCTTCAACAGTAAATCACAGCACAAACCGATGTTGAGTGTCCCAGAGAGAATCTAAATCAGTTTCTTAATAAATCCCCAAGACACTAATGGTGACTTAAGTGGTTCTCTATAAACAGAAAGTAATCCCCCTCAGACAGAATATGGTGTTTGTCTAGCACCAAAACTTCTATAAAGAAGACCAATCATACTCTTGACTCTTACTTCAAACCCCTCGGTGGCAGACTGTTGGCTGCAACATAAAACACTGGAACATTCTGCCTGTCAGCAGTTGCAGGTTGAAAGTCTAAATTAGTTTAAGCTTTAAAAGAAAAGCACTTTATTAATCTACAGAGAACACTTTTCTCTCCCTCTATCCATAAACAGGTGTGTTGTAGTATACCCTGTTTTTTAATAGAGACAGATTGCAGTGCCAACACACATCTTTAACAGTCTTGTTACGAGTTTATAAAGAGGGAAGGGGAGCGAGGGCACGGTGCATAAGGAATAAACCACTACTGTTCATGAGCTGCAATCACTCCAGAATGACCTGCAGTAAATCTCTGATCAGAGCCCACTGGCAGGCTGACAGGGTCTAACCTGAACAGCATGCATGTCTATTCCTGGTAATGTAAAAGAGGACTTTGCTGGACTTGAAGACAGATGTTAACGTGCGCACAAATACACCTCTGCATTTAGACACCTGATAAACTATGTCAAGGCTGCCTGAAAGCAAAAACATTACACTGTTTTCACATTTGATCATCCTCCTCATCTCCCCTTTCTTTCTCCATTGGTAAGTGTGGGTGTGGGGGGGGGGGGGGGCAGCATCTTAGCCTGCTGCTCATGTTTAACAGTTCTTTTTCTCCTCACTGTTGATTTAAATTTACTTATAAACAACTGAGAAAGACCAGATCCTCTCCTGTTCCTTGTTCTCTCTTTAGTCTGACACTGGCTGTAGCATTTCAGGAAGAGAATCACTTGGAGATCCAAAGGGGATAAACCAAGCCTGTGTTGAATAGGCATAATAAAAATAAATATGGAGGAAAGTATGAATTAAACATGCTGGGTTGGGTGAAGATCGCCACTTGCTTCCTCCTTCCTGGTTTCACTTTCCTAGCATATTTGAATCTTACTTTTCTTTACATAAAACATTCTTTTGTCAGACATCCTGGGACAGTTTTAGATGAGAGCTGAATTTGTGCCTTTGTATGCTAAAGAGTTTTACACAGAACTTTCTATCAACCCATCTATACTATCTTAATTCTAACATTGTCATAAAGTGGCATATGATCATTTTCTCCAACCTGGGCTGCTGCTTTTACCCATGCTGTCTACAGGATCTCATGGAGAAGTTGAGAGGTGGAGGTGTAGCTTGGGAACCTAAGGGTTTCATCTTCACTTTACCAGATAGTTTGCAGGCGGCACTATGGTGGTGGGCCTCATCAGAGGACTACAGAGAGGAGGTGGAGCAGCTGGTGCAGAGACTTCAACCTGATCCTGAATGTGGAGAAAATGAAGGAGATCTTTGTCGACTTCAGGAAGAACCTGGCCTAACCACGCTCCACTGCTCAACAGCTCAGCTGTAGAGGTGGCAGCACCAAATTCCTGGGAGTGTACATCACAGACAACCTAACCTGGATGGTAGACACCACCTCACTTATCAAAAGGGCACAGAAGCCCTTCTACAGTAGTACCATAGAGAGTATTCTGACCGGCTGTCTCACTGTGTGGTGTGGAGGGTGCAGCGCCTTAGACTGGAAGAACGTGAGAAAAGTGATGAGAACAGCAGAGAGGATCATCAGGGCTGCTCTTCCCTCCATTAAAGAAATTTCATCCCATTGCTGCGTGTCCCGAACCTGTAATATCCTGAGTGACCCCTCACACCCCCACCATGGACTGCTCTCCCTGCTGCCCTCGGAGAAGTAGCTTTGCAGCATTCGATGCAGGACCAGCAGCGTCTGCAACAGCTTTTTCCACTCTAAACTGGACTCTGCATAACATTATTTTGCACTACCAATGTTGCTGATTTTGCACCTTATTATTTTTTGCACTATTGAACATTTTCATATCAATGCCCATCTGCACCATTATTTAAAGCTGGAACAAAGCGGACCCAAAGGAGAGGCGAGGCTTAGTGCAGAAAGAAGTCAGAAAGGTGGAGGAGGAAAGCCGGCATGTCAAGGCTGTAGCCATGAACGAACAAGGCAGCTGGACTAGATGGGAGAGTGCAAGAGAGAGGGCTCTAACTTGGCAGGACATCTGGAGCATGGAAGGCCACCGCATCGAGTTTGTTTTATGTTTATGAGGTCCTACCTACTCCCTCAAACCTCCACACCTGGGGAATGGTCGAGAGCCCAAGCTGCAAGCTCTGCAGAAGGATGGCTAACCTTGAGCACGTCCTCTCTTCATGTCACTCAAGCTTAGCAGATGGCAACTTCTGGTGGTGTCATGACCAGATCCTTGCTTAATTGGCCAACGGCATCGGGCAAGCAAAGAAAAGGGCAAGACAGCTGTCCAAAGGGCCTCGTTTCATACTTTTTACCAGGGCAGGAGAAAGTGGAATAGCAGGAGGGAGGAGCAAGGAGAGAGAGAGAGAGAGTGATACTACTGGCCCACAGATGGTGCAGGGGCAAGTACCTGTAAAGGTGGGCCAGTTGCGATATCCCTTATCGTATTTTACATATTTATTTTTCTCCTACTTTGTTTACATTCTGATCACTGCGGCACTTTATATTGGTATTATTTATCTGTTCCAACTGCAATATCATTTCAACTGTTGTAAGCTATATGCACAAAATATTGTTTTGTTTACGCTGTGCATAGAAAATTATAATAAAGTTTGTCATATTGTGAATCCCTGGGTTCCTTCCCTCCATGAGGTACACCACATAAGGTGGAGCAGATGAAGAAATAAGCCAGGGCTGGTATAATTTAAAAGAAAATAATTCAACAGGTGCTCCATGTAAAGGTGCAGCTATGTGCTTAACTGGAGGTCAGCCCATAATTCAGGTTCTGCCTATGGCCTCCTACTATCTTTGTGTCAGCAATAACTTTAGTTCTCATAAAGCTAAAACTAAACCCTGAGTTTCTAATGAGCTGATTGGGGGTTGATTAAAAGGGTGCAACACTTACTCCCCAACAACCAGAGATTTTTTACAAGACAAATGCTCCTATGGGTGCAAAGCTAAATATACAGAACCATTCTGGTGTGGCCTGTCACCTCTCTTAGAAAGGTTTTCAACTGAAGGATATTATTACCAACAGGAGGGAAGTTTGTTACCTCAGCGGTGAGGCAGAGTGAAATCTCTTGGTGTTGAGTGAAACTGTGGTGGTGGGGGCAAACCAAACTACTTTAAAAAGTCCACAGTCTTTAACTTGAGAGATCTCTGCTGTGAGTCGACGTAATAATTAGCGACATAATTACAAGAGATTATTCTCAACGGAAGGAAACGCGGCCCTGTTAAGGTTCTGGATGGCTTGTTAAAGAAAAAAAAAGACTGGAAGGTGTTTGAATTCAGTCATTGCGCGCGAGCCCGTTTCTCTATGCACGCGTTCTATCTGAGCGCGCGCATTTTTCCATTAATTAGTTATAAAAATGTTTTTTTTTTCCTAATACAACAGATTAGTCTTATACTAATCTAATACAGTCTGATACATATTAGTCCAGGAAGGACTGAGATTTACTAGCTGCGCTGTAAAATGCGCGGGGACGCACCATCCTCCCTTTGCGCGCATGGATGTGGTTTGTGCCTGGTGTGTGTGTGTGTGCGTGTTGGGGGTAAAGTTTAGTGCAGGGGGCGCGGCGGTGTACTCTGGTGTAGAGGAGGCTCTGGCTAGACCTGGTGGTTAAGGGTGTCAAGAAGCAGAAGTGAGGAGCGCAGCAGAGCAGGCTTCGATTTCTGGACAAAACGCGTAAACGTCTCCCTCACCTGCACCCAGAGAGCTCTGCATATCCTCATCCTTCTCTTTGGAAAGCTGCTGTCCTCCAGGATGGAGCCTGTGTGGGATTGTGCCTCCTCTGCTGGGATGTTTATGCTGGGGTTGCTCTCTGTGCTGTGGCCGGCGCCAAACCGCGTTTGGAGTTTTAACCTTTACGCAGAGCATCCCACGGTTTACAGCGGACCCGATGGGAGTTATTTTGGATATTCTGTTGATTTCTATCAAGCAAGCCCTGAAAGGAACACGTGAGTGGCCAAATGAGCTCCTTCACACGTTTTTAACCAGTTTTTTAAATTATTCAATACAAAAATGTACTTTTAAATTCATGGATGGTGGTCATTAAATGATCCAACTTATGTTTAATAAGCATATAGCTCTGTTTCTGTCTTGTATATACCTTGCCCCCCACCAGGATTAGTGTGCTTGTGGGGGCTCCTAAAGCGAACACCTCCCAGCCGGGCATCGTGGAGGCTGGAGCCGTCTATTACTGCCCCTGGCCCGGACAGCCTGATAGCTGCAAACAGATTCCCTTTGATATTTCCAGTGAGTCACCTGATGCTTTTTAAACTTCTTCTTTCATTTGGATTTAGAGCACATTTAGATGTTCAGCTTTTAATCAGCTCTGGTGCTGTAGTTCTTAAATAAGGTCCTATAAAGGATTTGGATAAATCCAAACTATAACCATGAGTTTTTCTGTCCAATACCGATTTTCAAATGTATTTTAGTTTTGAACATGAAAAAAATGACACTTTTTACCAATTGTTTTTCATTATTATTATTACATTTACTTTAAGACATAAGGGGAAAACGACACACATGTTCCATTAGTCCAACAGTAAAAGAAACTAGTTAAGAAATTATGGCATTTTTTTTCTCACCACAAATGTCTCTATGTAATTTATGTATAATGTGTGTGTTAAAAAGTAAATTAAAGAGCACAGTTTTGATTTATGTATTTGTTGCCCCAAAACACTGAGAGTTCTCATTTTTGATCCATTTCATATCCTGGAGTGAAACTTTTTTCACTTTTAAATTGATCCATTTTAATATTCCATTTGCTTCCTGCATCTCTAATCTATAAGTTACCACATGCTGTGTTGCATGAAAGAAAGACATAAAACATGTGGCTCTCGTTCATTTCTGCTTAGAAAAAAAAGATAACCTTGCAAGTTTGCTTATACAAAGACCTTTAGATCATGTTCATTCTGATCTCCAATTTATTATCATCAGTGTCCTATCACCAATTCCTTCTTCATCACTGTCTCTGGTGTAGTAAGTGTGTTCCTGGGCTACAGAGGGAAAGATGGGGCAATGTGATTGGGAGGGGGGGTAAACTGTAAGCACATGGGAATTTGGTTCCCAGTCGAAAGAACGGGGGATTGGGTGAGGTCTGCTTTTTATTAGATCTTGAAAACGTATGCCTGTGTCCTTTCCCCGCCCCTTGTCCTGCTTTGATTCTCAATCTGTCCCTCTCCTGCATGATTTTAGAGGACCACAAAAAATAAACTGGAGATTAGACTTAATGTTAAAAGTTTTTCTCTCTCTCTCTGTAGGGGGAAACAATGTTTTTATAAATTGACGGTATGGTGCACAGATTTAAGACAGCGGTGGCAGCAGACAAGGCAGCATCTAAAGCCTTTTCAATAAGAAGAACAGTTTGATGAGGATGGAGGATGAAACTTGTCTGGGGTTTCTCGCTGAACAGTCCTTCTTAAACAGATTTGTATTTTTCCCCCTAAAATCCACAAACTTAATCTGATTCTCTCTGTACTCTATGTAATATAGTTGTGTCAATTAGTTCAGAATTCTAAAGCAGAAGGAAAACATTTTTAAATGCACATTTGATGAGACTGTGTTCAATCTGATTACAGTATAGCAAAGGATGTTCTATGGATGTCTTAGAAGTTTGTCAGCGAACATTAGTAAACACACAGCATCAGGAAATCCAAGAAACACAGCCCAGAGGTCAATATGTGGAGAAGTTTAGAGCAGGGTTAGGTTGGGAAACAATATCTCAAGCCCTTGGTAATACTGGAGGAGCAGCAGAGATCCACAGCCTAGGTGGGAGAAAATATTGGCAGGACATGTGTTAGTAATGCACTTTACCAAGCTTTTATGCAAGATTGGTAAAACAAAACCCTTTTTTAGAAAACCACAACAATCCTACAGATAAAACAAGTAAAACTTTAGTCAGTATGACCAAAGCTGAGCTTTTTGTACGTTAGAACAAAAAAAACCTGAATAGTTTGCGTCACCCTGAACATATAAGTGAGGGTGACAGTACCATATGCGAATAGATAACCTCGCCAGAGTTGATGGGAAGATAAACTGAGTGACATGCAGAATAATTCTGGTAGAAAATATATTAGAGGCTGAAGAAGACTCAAGACCTGGGAAAGGGTTCATGTTCTGTTACAACACCAAACACAAACATAGAGACAGAAATACAAGGGATTAGGGGTTGCCCATTATTACCAGTCAGAGTTTAAGCAGTCTGCAAAGAGGAATCAGTCTTTAAGGCTATAAGGACCTGCAGCTGCAATTACAATCAAAGCGTTTAATAGTTATAAGAGCAGGTAGCTCTTTTTACATTTTGACTTGTCTGCTAATGACATTGCCCTCTTGCTGGTCCTGAATAAAGAATCCTGGTTCACCTCTAGCTGACTTCAGTCATCTCTCACTAAGGACATGAACAAATATGTTTAGCTTGGTTTCAGGTTTTATTAATGTATCAGATTAACTAATCCTGGAGTGTAGTAGCTTTCATGTGTCTTTCTTCACAAAGGTAGCTGAGGGATAATTGATAGTGGAAAGTTCTATAATTACAACTGAGCTATTTTTACTCATATCAAAATATCAGCAAGAGTAGTGAGCATAAATCTGCACGAATTAATGTTTGGTAGCTTCAGATTTTTTTGTGCTTTTTCATGTTTCTGTGCACATCCACATTTCAGTGACATCATGTAGACTGACTTCATTGGGGGATAAAGGTCTAGGTGATAGATTCTGCTTCCAGCTTTCCAAAAAAGGCTGGATTATGGTTATTGATTAATGTTGCAAAACAAAATGATTTATTCATTGTATTGCTTGCTTCTTTACACATTAGAACTCAGCAGCCATAATGGTGAATACATTCTTTTGCATTGCTAATTTACAAAATACAATTATTGAACTGTAACATTTAGAGTTTTAAGAAGCCAACCCATATGAGTGTCTATATTGCACCAGTTTATAAGCAGGAGGAATAATTTGATAGATTTAAAAGTCTTTAAAGGCTGCTTTAGTAAATCGGTTATTACAGAAAATAGATCATGTATAATCACTTTTTCTTCTGAACAGTTTGTATAATCTGCAAATATCTTACCTTTTAAGATGTCAGTAATAATATTCCTGGATTCAATCTCCAGTTACCTTTTTAAGATTTGATTCTGGATCATCGTTTCAAATGTCTTAAACTAAATTTTTTCCAAAGAGTTGTAAAATTCCATCCTGGTTTAAGATGCTGATGGATTCTGCAGTTTATATTCCCTACGTGCTCTATTATTTTATTTTTTTTTGTAAGCCTAGAATGTAATTTGAAATTTTATTGTGATTTCCATCCTTCAATAAATGATGACTAATTCCTTCCTACAAGATCATAGGAAGATCCTGTATGTGTTCAGAAACATGGAAAACAGCACTTTTCTTGAACTCATTAATACACAATTTAAACATGTGAAGGCCTAAAAGTAATGATAAATCATTTACTGTACACCTGTTTGTCTAAAACCAGGGTATTCCTGTAAATCTATGTATGTTTGTGGGCACACATGTGCTAAAGTGGAGGGATTAATGAGGAGGGGTCTGTGTGGGTCTGATGAGACCCAGCTGCTCTAAAAGAAAAGCACTGGAAAATATCTACATCAACCAAAACTCATGCACCAAATCTGTCCTTTTATAGCGATTTTCAGTGTGGAATTGACCGTCTTTTCTGTGATCTTGTCTCCGTGTGTCTGTCTCAGTTCCTAGAGTGTTAATTCTTTATTGGAGTGCATCAAACAAACAAACAAAAAGCCAACCATATCCTGTCGAATGTTAGTCTCAGGGGGCAAATGGTGTTTTGCTGTGTTATAGGCCTGTTTAGGACTTTGCTGTTTACCCTCGCTCATTAAGGACAAATGATCACAGACCACATTACCATGGTCTACGTCATCTTTTACTGCCACCACTTTGAAGATCTCTGTTAAATTCTCTGTTCGGTTTTTACATCTTTTCCACCCCCCACCCTGCATCTGCACACATCTCTCTGCCACCAGATAACAGAATGATTAGAGTAAACCGCACCAGAGAGCCTCTAGAGTTTAAGTCCCACCAGTGGTTTGGAGCATCAGTCAGGACGCACAAAGGAAAAGTGGTGGTGAGTGGTGATGTTAATCAAACTCTACAAGTTTTAAGGTGTTTATATATAATGAAACTCAGAGATTTATGGTTTATGCAGGCCTGTGCTCCACTCTACCACTGGCGGACAGTGAAGAAAGAAGGGGAGAAGGACCCGGTGGGAACCTGCTATGTCGCCGTCCAGAACTTCAGCGCTTATGCAGAGTACTCCCCCTGCAGGACCAGTGAGTCAGTCTACCGCTTCACCTATAGAAGCCTTCATTCACCAGCTGTGCTTTCATGTGTCTGCATTACATTCAACCAAATTTTAAAGAGAGAAAATCGCCACAGAAATAGGTAAACCTTGACTGATGTTACTAGTTAGAAAACGCGTTGTTGGTGAGAAGGATCATTAACTTGAATATTTTAGCTGAGATTTTTAAAAGACACTTTTCGGACAAAGTTTTTACAGAAAAGTGTGATTTTTACAGAAAATAAATGATGAGTCATTAGAAAAAGCGATATTGTTTGCTCTGCTTTGGATCTTTGTACTGTAGATTGAATATGTGCATTAGCTCCCAATAATGTTAGTGGTTACCTAGCAGAGAAATGACTGGCTTCTGCCCATCAGTAATGTCCTGCTAAATCCTGACTGGACATTTAACAGCTCTTTGAATTAGAAAAGGCAGAGCTTTTTTTTAAATGTGCTGGTTTTCTGGACACACCCAACATTTAGGCTGTCCTAAAATTCTTCACCCAATTTTGAGATAAGCTGGGTTGGGAGAGTGCAGTGCTGATGAAGAACAGAAGAAAAATCTCTGGTTGGATTCATAGGATATTGATCTTTCTCCTATGAGGCTGTCGACTCTTCTAAAAGCCACAATGCTAACCCAAAAATGATCTCCCCAATAGTGAACCAGTCTCTCTATTTTGTGAACTGAACGCCCCACTCCTCCAGCCCTCAGCAAAAGCTGCTTCTTTTCAACAATCCTGCTCTTTTCTTTCTCTTCCACCTTCTTCGTCTGACACTCTTAATCCTGTATGTAAATACAGCACACTGCCAACACATGATGATCAGAAGCAATGACGGCGAACAGGTGGCACCGTGTAAACAGCAGAGGAAATCCTGCCCTCTCTTTAGTAACTCGCTCAGTGTTAAAGATTTCAGTTTATGTTACTTATGTCTGCGCTGACTAATCAAGACATGAATAATTGCACCGTAAAACTGGAGCGTTCCCAAAAGGGAATACGTTGAAGTGTTCTCAAGATTGGGCAAAGTGATTCCTTACTGTTTGTTGGAGCCAGAGTTTTCTGCCACCAGCTGCTTTTTTTGCTTCATATTAACATATTTTGGCGGCTGCTCAGGCCTCTGCTGTAACTGACTTATTGTTTACACTGTAAGTGCACTTGTGTAGTCACACATCATTAAGTTTCACCTCAGGCTGCCAGGGAATTGAAGACAAATTTACGATGTGCACGGTACGTTTGGTGTGTTTATGTACAGTTAGATTATGTCATTTAAAAAAGACGTAACTTTTATTAGTTGCAGGGTTTTATAGGAGACTCAAGTTCCTCCTCTTATTTAGATTTTAGTTTTTTATTTAGACATTCCAAACATTATAAACTCACTTCACACTAAAGCAGTGTAGAGAAGAAGCCAAGTATCTCCTTTATGAGTTGCCAAATCTGTTGATTTTATCTTCTTTATCAAAACCGTTTTGCTTTTACAGAAGATTTGGCTCCTCTGCCAACATTTCTAGCAAAGCTTTATGCATGTTATGCTAACCAGTAGATGTACCGTGTCATGAAGATTTATTATATCCCATGAGCTTTACACATTTTTTCACCCTAGCATCACAAACTTTCTATCTTGTTGGAAGTTTTTGTGATAAACCAACATAACTTTACAGAACTGTTAAAGAAGAAATTTGCTGCATTATTCTGCAATCATTTTTTTATTTACCTTACACAGCCATCGCTTTCCTTCCTAAATGAAAATATCCACTGACTGATGGACTGACTTTATTAGGCTATTGGTTGCACTGGATTTTATTTAGAGGTATTAAATTAAAGACGATGTGTAAAAACAGAACAGATTTCCTGAAATAAAGGTTAGAGGCAGTCAGTTCTTGGCAAATTCCCCCTATTGATTCTCTAACATACACGTGTAGTTGTGATATTCTGTGCAAAACCAAGAAATCTTATTCCAAAAGTTCCCTTTTAGTAGAAAATAGGACTTTTCTTTATGTTTTGTATGTGTTTGTGTTGCTTTTAGATGACCCAGACCCAGAGGGACAGGGATTCTGCCAGGCTGGTTTCAGTGTGGATTTCACCAAGGTAAAACCTGCAGGATCGATCACATGTTTTCAGCAGTACAATGTCTTAGAATATCATATTTAAGAGCTTTAGACATTTATGGACCCTTGGAAGATGAGGCACCGATCCTCCCTGGAGAAACCAAAGTGACCTATCGCCTTTAACACAAGTGACGTGCATGCATTCTTTCACTGTAAAATAAGTCTGAACCCTGACCTCTGCCTCATGGTCCAACTTTACCCTTCCATACAGGAAGCTCTCATTCTCTGTAGGATGTCAACAGGCATGACAGCAGAAAATGTTTGCCAAAAAGTGCAACTTCTCTAGTTGCACAAGGTGTCGGATGTAGGAGTTTGCCCTGAAATCGAAGGATTGACGGTTCAAGCCCCGGCTCTGACTTTCAGTGTTGTTGTGTCCTTTGGCAAGACACTTCACCTGCATTGTCTACTGATGGTGGTCAGAGGGCCTGGTGGCGCCAGTGTATGGCAGCCTTGCTTCTGTCAGTGAGCCCCAGGGCAGCTGTGGCTACAATTTAGCTTGCCACCATCAGTGTGTAATGACTGTAGTGTAAAGCGCTTTGGTCAAGTTTCCTGACTTGAAAAAGCGCTATATAAGTACAGACTATTTACCAAAGATGAACAAATCTGTCTATATGTTTCTGTTAAAGGACTAACAATTTTCTTTTTATTACAGGAGGGGAGACTAGTCCTAGGAGGACCTGGAAGCTTCTACTGGCAAGGTGAATAAATCAGCAGTGTTCAAATGATGGATGAAGTTAGGTATGAGGTCAAACAGTGGAGCCCAAATATGCACCTTGGTCCAATGGCTTACCATTTTCTCTCTGCTCCCCTTTTCCCGCTTTTTCCTCCCTTGTTACTTTACGTAATGCCTCACGCTGACTGCAGTCAAACAGGAAGTGGGTGTTTAGGTGCAGTAATGAGCTGATCGGGGGTTAAATGGAGTGTGGAGGAGCTGCCCTCTACTAAGAGAGGGAGCCTGAAAAGTTTCAGAGTAAGGGAATAAAACTGGTGAAGAGTGGACAGCCAGAAGAGAAAGCAGTAGGGAGGGGATATCACTGTTGCAGTGAGGGGCAAAGTGCTGCTTCACAGAGGAAGATGAGAAGTTAGGGAGGATTTAGAAATTCAGACAGAGGAGGAAAGATGGGGGTGGCTTGCAGGACATGCAGGGCTGGCCAAAGCAGAGGGATTCAGTGTCTCAATTGGTGTTGCTGGAGTGCGATGCAGTGAAGCTGTTCAAGTGAAGCTAACCTCCTCCAGCTCCAGGTGTTTAAAACTTTGTGGAAATAAATATGTTAGAAATAGAGCACCTTGCTAATGAACCTGGAGCCCATATTGATTTTTTGGACAAATTTCTTTGTTTGCTCCTTTGTCATCAAATCTCCAACTTTCCTGCAAATTCTTTTGAACTAGCGATGCCCAACTCTTAGATTTGTAGCCTGATTTAAAGAGATTCTAAAGCTCCAACTTATTCATACCAATTTAGTCATCTCTATCAGATAAACCACAAACAGAATAATTTTAACTGGAAATTTAACACAAAACAGCAACAGGTTACAGTGCTTACTCTATCCCTGTTATTTAATATTTAAATATAAACAAAGAAGCAAATGACCGAAATATAACCATTCAGTTGAGTTTATTTATAAAGAGTGTAAATTCATCTTTATAGTGTAAAGTCATCTTAATGCACATTCTGAGACAATTCAATCACATCATTCAGTCAGATTGGTTAAAATTTTTCCTTCTTAGGAAAACCCGATGGTTTCATCGATCACTGACTTTGCAGGACACGCTCCTGCTGCATGAACATGTGGTGACAGAAGACTTTCACTTGATCACTTTATGAGTTTATAAGATTATAAGCTCAACCCTATTATGTATAATCATCTTTGCAAAGAGAAAAAATTTGTTTAAGAGAAACATTGTGATGTTTATTTTTTTTGTTTTTTTTTTACTCTTCCTTTGCTAATGAATGTGTTTGAGTTTTAATATGGGAAACGTTAATATGCAGCTGACAGCTATTGCGGAATGGGGTCAGCAGAACCCCTTAATCGGGTCGAGTGCAGTTAAAAACCAGTGTCTATGAGCAGATGTGTCACACATTCTTATGTTTGTTTGTTTTTCTCCTACAAGTAAACTTTGTGTGTTTCTGTGTGTGAAATATAACCATTCAATTGAGCTTATTTATATAGTGTAAATTAAGGTGTCATCTTAAGGCACATTCTGAGACAATTCAGTCAGATCATCCAGCCAGATTGGTTAAAAGTTTTCCTTCTTAGGAAAACCCGATGGTTTCATCGATTATTGACTTCGCAGGACACGCTCCTACTGCATGAACATGTGGTGACAGAAGACTTTCACTTGACCACTTTATGAGCTTATAACATTTTTACATGTTTTGCAAATAACACAAGCTTGTGGTATAATACAGAAAAAAAATTTTATCGTCAGGGTTTGAATCAACATATCACAATTTTGTGGATCTGGTTTCACAATTTTTTTTTTCTTTTGCTGCTAAGATTTTATATATATAATAACTGTAAAGTGCCTTGAGATGACTTGTGTTGTGAATTGGCGCTATATAAATAAATTGAATTGAATATATATATATATATATATATATATATATATATATATATATATATATATATATATATATATATATATATATATATATATATATATATATGTTAGGGCTGCAACTAATGATTATTTTGCAAATCAAATAATCTGTTGACTATTATTATTTTATTAATCAATTAATAATTGGACAGCAAAATGTTCCTTAAGAAACTTTTTACATAATTAAAATTGGTGAAACTAAAACTTTTTCACTTAAGGACTTCTGGATAGAGCATATAGACAGACGAAAATGCTTTTTTATCTTGAATGCAAAATGATTACATATATTTTTACAATTTTGGCATAATTACTATTCTAAGTGGGTTTCTCTATCAGCTAAAGGCATGTTTTACGGTCTCTATACTCCAGTAAACGATTAATCAATTATTAAATTAGTTGATGATTATTTCATAATTGATTAATCCGATTAATGGTGACAACCCGAATATAAATATTAATACTTACTTAAATTTAGTATTTTTTAAGTATGAAATTTGCAAAACATATATATATATATATATAGGCCTATGTATAGATAAAGTAAGTGTGTTTTTGAAGGAAGAACTATTCTTTACATATGTCACCACTTAAAGATAAATTACTATTAAAAGCCCAAAATAAATACAGTACTTTAAATGTTGAGTGTATGTACACATCTGACCTGATGTATACTATCAGTGCTGCTGCCACATGTTGAATAATACATGCTTCAGCATAGGAGACCCACATTACGCATGCAACATAAAAAGCCTAATGGATCGTTCTGTGTCTGCAGCACTGCAGGCAGGCTGCCTCCAGTTAAAACACTTCCTACAAATGTTTATAAAAGCACTCAGCCTGGATTTTTATGGCCTCTAATATACACCGATTGTCTTTAGCCTTCAGCCTGATTCATCATAAAAAGAGACTTTTATATACAACCTTGTTATTACCAGGTGTGAAGAACACCTCAAATCAGCAGCAGTGACTCATGTATCTGTGTTAACAGTTGATCCCATTAATCAGTGGGAGGTTTAATATTGACTGGATGTGTTAGGCTGAGAGATAAACTCCGCGCATGGTGGGAGAGGAGCTGGTGGGAGGGTTAAGGGGGCACATTTTCCTTCCCGTCAGCACGCTCACACACAACGGAGGATTTATGGAAGGTTGAGGGCAACCATAGATAAAATCATCTGTTTCTTTAACCTGTTGTTCAACAGCAGAGGAAGGATGTTGTTTGAGTCCATACACCTATTATGTATAATTCTCTTTGCAATGGGAAGATTTGTGTTTAAAAGAAACATTGTTCTGTTTAGTCTTTTTGTTTTTTTTACTCTTGCTTTACTAATGAATGTGTTTGAGTCTTAATATGTGAAATGTTAATATGTAGCTGACAGCTATGGCAGAATTGGGGACAGCAGAAACCCTCTAATCGGGTCGAGTGCAGTTAAAAACCAGTGTCTATGAGCAGATGTGTCACACATTCTTCTGTTTGTTTGTTTTTCTCCTACAAGTAAACTTTGTGAGTGTTTCTGTGTGTGCGAGTGCAGGTCAGGTGATGACAGCAGGGATCGCAGAGATACTCAATGGCTACTCTTTAAAGGCAATCCTGAGACGAGTTCCAGGGGAGAAACAAACCGGAGCTGCAGACGACACAAATGACGACAGCTACCTCGGTAACACTCAGGAACAATCTCCTCTCTTCTCGCACTCACGCTAAACTTAATGAAAATCGGTCTGATTATCAGGATCTAATGCAGCAGCACCAAAACCGTTATGTCTACATTAAATCCTACCTTGTGTTTTATTTTAGGCTACTCTGTGGCTGTGGGAGAGTTTACAGGAGACTCGGAGCAGGGTGAGTCAACTTATCATAACTAGAAGAAAATCAGTTTAAGAAATAGATTAGATTAGATTAGATTAGATGAGCTTTATTGATCTCACAGCGGAGAAATTCACTCATCACATATTGGCATAGTAATAAAAGAAGGTGCAAACAAGGAGGAAAAAGGTGCATTGAGAAGAATAAACAATATATATATGTACAGTATATCCAGGTATATACAGTATATCAAGATAAATAAGGATTAAGGTAAAAGTGTACATGTATCGCACACAATGAAAAACAAAATAAAAATAAGAAATAAAACATACAGTATGAATCAATCTTTTATATCTCATACTTAATCTTAAACTTTGATCAGAGTTTCCAGGGATTTCTTATTAGTAAATCATGTTTTTTTTAAAACTATTATTTACTCTTTAAGAAGGGCAACAAAGTGTCACACTCTGTCACATCTCAGTGACCTCTTGGAGTAAACTGAAAATCAATCATCACTGGGTCTTGAAACAGGATAATGATCAATAAACATGTGGCCACATCCTTAGAGAACTGGTTGAAGAGATACAAAATCAGCCATCCTCCATGACCTAGACCTAGATCCTGTAGAGAACATCTGAGATGAGCTGACGAGCAGAGAGCAAAAGAGAGAAGACAGAATTGATGATCTAGAGAGATATGCAAGGAAAAGAACAGTCCCTCCTTCTTTATCTTCGAATTTAGTGACATTTTAAAGGAGAGAGCTGTTTATGCAAGGATGTTTTACAAACTATTAACTTCAGACCATCCAATAAATGTCAAAAGATCTGTTTTTTTATACTTTTACAGATTTTTTTTTTAACAAAGAATGACATTAATGGAGATTGTAGAGCCATCCACAGAGAGATGTTTAATTCAGTTGTGGATAAGGAGTTGACAATGGCGTCTTCACTCGGAGGCAGTAACAAGGCCTGTCCCAAGCCATCTAGGTCATGACCTAGGAGGAAGACGACTGTAGGAACCACTGATAAGGGGATTTCCTGTCCACCATTCTGACTGATTAGAATGATTGTTGGCAGACTTCACACACCTCTTCAGGTCAAGAGCCGGCCCTGGACCTCGTCTGGACGTGATGAAAAATGGAAAGCATAGATATACAGCAACACAACAAAAATAACAAAAATATCTTGGCAGAAGAGTTCCTCTGAAATACAGAGTCTTTCTTTCAGGCGGCCTTTCTACATGGAAAATGTTCTAGTATTGCATAAAAGTTGAAGTGAAAGGTTACCTGGTTCACATCCTACCAAGACATATATGATAGCTGCATGTTTGCCTCTTTCCAGGAGAGCAAACACTAAAACCCAGAATGGTTTGTTGGTGGAATTTTATAAAGATTTACCAACATTTAAAGAGGAACTCTGGTATTTTAATGCTTACAATAAAAAACTCCTTGACTGAAAATTGTTTCTGAACTGCTTAGAAACCCTGAAAGTAAAAAGTTTATATATGCTTGAAATAACAGTCATTCATTTGTTTGATATAGATTTTATAATAGACTAACAATAAGAAGTAGAAAAGGCTAAAATGGAAGAAGAAAGCACCAGACTGAAATAATTAATCAGATTAATTGTGATGAATCATTTATTGAGATAATTTTCATCTAATTTAATGACAAGAGGTGTATATGTATTCTAAAATGTGCTACTAGCTAAGATAATAATCCATCTGCAGAAATTAAGGCAGAACTAAAAATCTAGACATTATATTAAAAATGAAGTCTCTTTGTTTGAAGGTTTTTAAAGGGCTATAGTGTAGCATTACATTTTTAGTGTTGAGGTTATTGCAAGATTTTTATTGTTTCAGCTGCTAGTAAGGCAGCAACTTAGCCTTTAGGACAGTTAAGTTGAGCTTAACTTGACTGAAATTTAAATGCATGGTAGGTTTGCAGTGCTCTACGTTTTTTAGATGATGATTGAATTTCTCTTTTAGATGTTTAAAGTTTAGGATTTTTGCATTGAACCTCATTGCATCTTAATTCATTTGTTTTGTTTTGTTCCTTTGTCTTTATGGTGTTTTTTCTTTAAAATTGTTTTCTTACTAACACAAAGGTGAACACCTTTTGGTTGGCTTGCACAAACTTATGAAATTTAAGAGTGGGACTGAATACATATACATGATATATTTAAAACTTTCTTTGTAAAGCAGTTTTTAAATAATATAAGTTTCTTTTTTTGCCCTTTCTGCAAATGGTAATATGTTTTTTGTTTGTACTTTTAAAGTTTTTAGTTGCAAAGGGGTCATTAGAAAAATTGCTAGCATGTGAGTGCTTTTCCAAGGCTCTGTACTTAATGTGAAAATTGCTTTACTTTCGTTCTTTGAAACATATTCATCTTAGATTTAAAGTTATGAACGTTATTTCTTTGCTCCAGTTCAAATACAATGAACAAGGAATTTCAGCACGAAAGCAGCTCTTTTCTTTATTAAAGACAAAACAGGCAGAGCACCACAATCATTATATTTTTCACACAATTTATAGCTTCGTCTTCAAAGAAAGACACCACACAGTCTGTCACACTTATATAAAACCAACCCCCCCTTTCCCAGCATCTTTACCATTCAGTGGAAACTCTGGGTTACAATTCTGTGTTTGCATGCCCTCATACCAACCCTGAAAAACCCCTGAACACCCTCAGGCACAACATATGTCACGGAGTCTTAAAGTAAGACTAAAGAGGCAACACATGCTCACTGATGCACTATGTTGTGGTTCAAAACTCCTTGTGGTCATGTTCTTTAAACCAGTGTCAGACTGGAGAACTGGTTGTAACTGAGAGTTCTAAGCAAAGATGAAGCAGGGAATTAGTTTGGTGGTGAAGTCTGCTGAGCCACAAGGCAGGAAGTGGGGACTCTATCTGCTCTCTCTGGGTGGGACCCTCTGATCATCCTCATAAGTTCACAAGGCTATACTCATCAATCACCGCTAGAGCAGAGTGAGAGTCCCCATCAGCAGGGTTTGACTTTATAATGAGTGTGAGGGAGGTGCTTCAGATAACTGCTTTATTGGGATTTTTTCATGTCTGTCCATCTGTTTCTCACAATATAAAATCTTTGTTTTCCTAGAGCTGATAGCCGGAGTCCCAAGAGGAGCACACAGCTTTGGATATGTAAGTACGGGAAGCAAAATGTCTTTCACAAAAGGGTTCAAATATTAAAATACTTTTATAAATGAGATGCTTTTCAGCTGGAGAATGTCAAACTGCTATTTTACACCTAATCGCTAATTCCTGACAGGTAATTTACCTTGTTCACTAGAGGTAATTCAGAACATCAAAAAGCAAGTTTTCCATTTGAAGTGATGCATCTGTAAACAGTTATTTTAAAATATATCCATCTATTCCAACCTTAAGTAATAGGTAAGGCAAAATATCTTATTTCTATTAGGGGAGAAAAGCACCAGCAAAGAAAAAACTCCATTCAACTTTTCTTTCATTTTTTTTTTTTTTTTTTTTTTTTACCTCCGTTAGGGAACTATTTACTCGTAAAGTGTTCAGATCAATCTGTTTAAACTATTTAACCCTTTTAATTGTTCTGCAGGAAAAACAAAGGCAAATACATATAAATTATATAAAAGATATGGTAAAAAGTCAATGTCTATCAGTTATTCAGTTTAAAAAGTGGAACCTATATAATATATTTAGTCATTTCATGTAGAGGGGTTTATTTTATGCTCTTCATATTGATCTTTGTAGCTTACAACGAATGAAAACCTACAATTATGCATCCCAAAAAACATTATATAGAACATATAATAAAAAAGAAAATATTTCAGTACAAAAATGTAGGCCTAATAAAAATGTTCTCATGCATCATGACTGTGCACGTGCATAGCATAGCATGGATGAGTTCGGTATCAATCTTTGCAGCTGTGTTTAAAGTAGCCAAGGTTGTTTTAATGGAGCCTTATGCCTCTGCATTGCTGCTATTGGTGTCTCTCCTCCTCCTTCATAATACTCTATAGACTGTCTATGTGGGTTATCTGTTGTTTACTGCCCAAACAAGCACAAGAGGCTTCAGTATTCTGCCTTTCCACATTTCCCTCAGAATATTAGACTTTTAAATGCAACACTTCACTTTGATCTGAAAAGAGAACTTTGGACCACAAAGCAACACTCTCGTCATTTTCTTCTTTGATCAGTTGAGAGGCTTTGAGGGTTGCTGGACTGTGGCCTGGTTGGATGAATGGGATGTTTTAGCACTTGACCTCTGTGGTGTCTCTTGGAGGTCTGACTCCGGTGGCAGTCAACATGTTATGAATCCCTCCCAAGCCTTTGAATCCAACAATAACTGCAGTTACCCATGATGCATCTGCTCACTTTCCCACCATACCTTTTTCTTCCCCCTAGAGATGCATTGGATATAAAACTCTAGATGGGATCTTTAGCAATGACCAGTTGTGACTTACCCTTCTCAGTTGTCTGCTGGACAGACGTAAAGTCAGCACTCTTCGCTATGCTGTCTAGGTAATACATAACTAAAACTTAACATTTCTCAGAAAATAAGACTTTTTTAATTGGCTTTATGTAATAATTTAATATAGTGATAAATTTAATTTTGGGTTTTCAGTTGCTTTAAACAATAATCATTCTAATTAAAAGATTAGCTGCTTCAATTGAAGTATTCTCTTTTGCCACAAATCTGTTTGAGTTTTAATTTAATGAGAAAAAAAATACTTTTTTCATGACATTATGATGTATTGAGATCGTCTTGTTTGTGAAGATTGCTTTAAAATAGGTGTAGTCGGAGTTGATAAACCTACAGTGCTTCTTGAACATTGCCCTTATGCAAGAATATTTTAGTATTCTCGTCATAAATTTGTTGTACTTTTTGTCCTACCAGAACTTTTAAGTAGGTGACTCGTCAGATTCAACAAACAATCGTCACTTAACTAAATGATCGTAAATGTGCTTTGTGCAACATAAAATGCTTTACATGAGTTCAAGATCAACTAACATGACAACGTTGTGCTAAATCTCCTTTTAATTCACAGACACCCGTGTACTGTGCATCCCACTCTCACAACATATAAACATATATAAAATGTTGATGAAAAAACTCCTAATTTAATGAAGTCGGACAAACCCAAACTAAAATATTCAGCGTTTAATGTAAAAACACAGAACCAAGGAGTGAAATGAACGAAAGTCTTACTATTAGGGGAGTTTCACTGAACTTTCTTTCCATTTTCTGTTCCAGATGTTATTTCAATATTAGCTTGATCTCTGTTCTTTCTTTTGACGACTTCGATGACAACTTCCTTTGATACCAAAATGCCATCTGCGGGTGTAGTGACAGATTCTGTCATCAGCAAATAAAAATGTCATTTATAATTTCTGAGTTGCATAAAATATAATAATGGAACCCTAATAAAATGGACAGTTGCCTCTAAGTAACAGCAAATATAGTAATTGAATGAAAAACTAGGTTTGGATAACAGCTCACTTAATGTGCAAGACTCCTATAGGTCAAGTCTGGAACACTCGTAAAATTCGTTGGTACCGAAGAGAAGATTAGAAATAGGAGAAATTGGGTGAATCTTTCACTTCTACGAATAATTTGAGAACAAATTTGTTCGAACAGTTCTTGCACAAGGCCCATTGACTGTATATTGTATGTCATATTGGCCTTTGGGCAAATGGAGTTTGGTACAAATTACTGATAGTTGGAACATCTTTTAATTGTTTTGATAAGTATTATCCCACACATTAATTTGTTTTCAAATAAATACAGTCCTGAGCATTAATCTGTGCATTATAAAGGTCTACAACTGCTCTACATCTTCAGCTGTCTTTTCTTATGGGAACTTGTCTCCAGGGCTAACTGTGTCAATCCCCCTTAATGACACACAGCTTCCGCTTTATTTGGAGGGCACTGACCCCACCTAACCCTACTAACCCTTTTCTACACACACAACCCCTTAACCTGCAGTGTAACCACAGTACTCACCACAAACAGAATGCCAGAATGATCTGTCCCGTGCAAATGTTTCTGTCTGAGCATCACAGCTGTGAGTGAGCAGGTAAGGCATAGAGGCTTGGTTCTGGAACAGCTGTCAGGCCTGATTAGGTTTCTTCTGTGACCAATCCAACAACTGAGACCAAAGGAAAGTAAATTTTCTAGCTATTGATCCAGTGTTTGTGTTTACACATGACCGTCTGTCCGTAAATTTCTGTAAGTCTACCCTTCTTTACTCCGTCTCTCAGAGATCAGTGATTGAGTTAACATGCATCCTCTTGCACATGTGTGTGTGCGTGGAGCTGTGTGTGTAGCCGCTGGCTGTCTCCATGTGGTTGTTATTTTAGTTCTTATGAAGGAATTCTTTGCCTCCCCTTTCTGTCTTTCCCTGCAACTGGGGTTAGGATGGGGGAAGGAGAGAGAGATTGGGGGGGGGACTCCATCAAGACAGGCTGAGCGGGAAGAAGAAAGTTTTAGTTTAATAGAAACTGTTTTATTACTTTTTCTTTAATTAATGTTTGCCATATGTTTATTATGATCCATTCTGATGTGCAACAACAGCAAAGTCTGCTGATTATATACCAACTCCCTAGAACATATGAAAAGGCTTCACAAGACAAGTTGGTCCGATTAATTAAGACTAAATATACATCAGATCAGTTAGATCTGATGTATATTTAGTCGATGAAAGATTTTCATCCTTATTAAAAAATATCACAAAGATCTGCTTAGGCTGATATTTGACAGGCCATTTTCTTGTTCATATCTGCATATTGATTATATAATAGTCCAGTTTGATGCACTCTAGATACCCTTACTGTCCCCACTTTCACATATATTCTTAAGTGACAAAGATGCCAAAGCTCGCAGGGGTTGGTGGTGACATTGTGTCATGATACAGAAAGAAAAGACAATGATTAGCCACATCGTCGACACAATTTTCAGTTATAGCATCCACGTGTTATGCTCCCATATCATACAGATATCATACAGATTAAAATTCTGCCACATCCAGTCCAGCTTCACACATTTTAGTTATAACACAATACAGACAAACTGCTTTGCCGCAATCCCTTATCCAACAGCAAGACTAATGCATTCGCACTGTGTTTTCTGTTTTAGGTGGCAATGATCAACTCCACCAATCTCACCTTCATCCATAACTTTACAGGGGAACAGGTAGCATCATCATCTGATACCCAGACTTAGTATTTGTGTTCTATAATGGAGCTAGTGATGGTTTGGGTGAAAAGCTGAACTGTTCCTCCCTGGTCTATCCCTCAGATGGCGTCTTATTTTGGTTACTCAGTGGCTGTCACTGATTTGAATGGAGACGAGTAAGTAAATAATCATTTAACTATCTGAAACATAGCTAACTTCTGTGCCATCGTTCCCTCTGCTCATTAAAACATGTACTATGAACCCATCCAGCACGGATGATATCCTGGTTGGAGCACCGCTCTACATGGAAAGAGAGATGGAGAGCAAACCCATAGAGGTGGGAAGGGTGTACCTCTACCTGCAACTTGCTCCGCTCATCTTTTCTCAACCCATTGTGCTTAGTGGTACCTACACTTTTGGACGTTTTGGGACGGCTATAGCACCACTGGGAGACATTAACCAGGATGGATATAATGGTAAGCTGAAAATATGCAAAATTAAAATGAAAGAAACCAGATGCATTTTGTTTTTAAAGATAGAAGAAGTTTTTATGTGCTGATGAACAACTGCTGCCGTCTTAATAACAAACACCATTTTTTTCTGTGATCTTTTGTCTGTCGGCCGGTTAAATAGCTAACTGAGGAAATCCTGTCAGGCTCCTTAAAGCCCTTCAGCAAATCAGGAAGTGTGGCGATGAAAGATTTTGCGTGTGTGAACCTGGCTTCATCGTTTGACAATCCTAGTGAGGGCACATGCTGTGTGTGTTGGGGCTATTTTTACCTCCCCAGATGTGGCTTCAGATAGAGTCATCTGGGATTTTTTTTTTGTGCTGCAGCCCAGAGTTCATTCCTCTCGGATGTGTTTGTTTTATTCTCACGTTAATTAGACAATGACTGACACGCACAAAGCCTGGAGCCCAAATGCCTCACTAAGCTCAAACCTGTGGACCGCATTATTAAAGATGAATGAGGGAATCCACATCTGGTCCTTCTTTGACATCAATCCTCCTGATTTATTTTTAATTTACTCTTAGGCAGCATGTGTTAAAGTGCACACCGGCCCTTTAAATCCCATTAACTAGCAGATCAATAACCAAGGGATCAATAGTGACGCTTTTCCTGGCTACAATCATAAATCACATCTGCTGTCTGACATTGGGTGACACTGTAAGGATTTCTGGGAAACAGTTCAAATATGTACAGGATTTTATTGTTCACGATTATGAAATTAAGCTGATAGATTATTGATGTGGGTTTTCTGGGAATGTTTGTACTTTCTAGAGTAAAACTGCTGTGTTCCTATAGAGGGCTTTAAAAAAGGGCTTATTTTCAAATTTTGCCATATTGCAACTACTAACTTTAATTGGTTTAATCCAACTTTTATGTTATATTATGACACAAATAACTTAAGTTTAAAGCCAGCGGTTAATTTTTTTAGATAAACATATAAAACATGTTGCGTGCATATGTTATGAGCCTCTTTTAGCCGGATATCCTTTACTTAAATCCCTGAGAAGTACGTAGAGTCCATCCATGTTTTAATGTTTAGAGAGCACCAGTGGTCAAACAGATTACCACAACTGCAGAAATCTACAGTACAGGTAAAATAATCTATAAACAGATTTTCTAATAATTGCCATGCTATCCACAAATCTGACCTAATGGAAGATTAATGAGTAGACCGTCATTGTGTGTGCTCAATTCTAGCTTCCTCTAGTCACTGCTGGTGTGTTTCTGGGTAAGACACTTGGGCTACCAATCTGCATATTGGTGTATCTATGTGTTTTAAGTATTTTGAGTGGTTAGTATCCACCTGTGTAAATCAACTCCATTACACCACATATGTTTACCTTCCAGCTGAACATTAACTCCAACCATACAGCCACAAGTGAAGTAGTTTGGTCAACATCATTGTTGGGCAATTCCAGTTTCTTAGGGCCGGTACCCTGCAACCTTTAGATGTGAGTTGGGTTTAACACACCTTAATCAAGTAATTAGATTCTTGAGGGGACTCTGGAGGAACTGACTGCATACTGAGGAGGTATTTGATTCAGATATGTTAGACCAAGGATGGATCTAATAGTTGCAGGATACCGACCGCTGGGAACTGGAATTGCACACCCCTGGTCTAGATGGAAGCATAGATTTATGTTAGACCTAGAGTTGTATCAGGTCGCTGCCGCCAGGCGCCGCCGTGATGTTAACCAAATAGAACAATTAGAATAACACTTAGAAATTAGAACATTTCATCCAGTTTAACTGATCTGAAGCTGTTTGCAAAGAGGAATTTTGAAAAAAAGAATTCTCTGGATGTGCACTAAAGACATGCTGCAGAAGACTTGTTTCTTTAGCTGATGTCTGAGGGGAGTCTACAGAACAGATTTACTTTATGAGACGTGACATTTGTGACATTGATCTTCTTCCATCTCCCGCAGCAACCCCAACATTCTTCTTAAAAACAGAACCATACCCGTCCTGTGTCACATTTTATGATTCTTTTCCCCAAGTCTCAGCTGGTAAGCCCTTACAATTTAGCTAATTTGATTTGCCATGTGGCTCCCCTTGTTTATAATTTTCATCTAACAACACCGGCTTTTCCTCTCACCATTGGGTACAGTGAATCAGCTTTTTAGTCTGTAAGACTTCCCAAAGTTCCAGTTTCATCACAGTGGGTGTTCTTCTGGATGCCTGCGCTGTGTGGGACGCTGTTGAGCAATACCAATGAGTGACTTTTGCATTATTTGAAGACTTTTTTTTTAAAGGAGCTTATTATTTTTGCACATCTATTCAATTATGTACACATAGGCTCACGCAGACATACAGGCTCACAGGCACACATGGATACACATAGGTTCATTTATACACTTGCATACACACATGGTTGCATTTATACTCTTTCTACCCCACAATCTGCTTCATGTGGAACCAGTTGTTTAGGCTGGGAGAGAGGGGGTCCAGAGACAAACAGGATGTCTAGAGGGATTTTGGACAGTTACAGTACTGATGGGTATTTAAATGAAGGACAGTGCAAGGCACTGGAGAATCAAGTTTAGAATATATACCAACATCTGCCTACATTGTTTAAAAAAATGTTTTTTTTTTATACGAAACAGGTGCTTTTTTGTTATAGTCACTTTCAAGACAATAAGCCATTTTCCTTACCTTTGATGTTTTAGCCATAAAGCATAAAAGACCCTGAATGTAGGCTTGGGTCCAAATTAGATATTGAAAAGCCTTTATTGACTGTGAGCTCTAATTTACATTTAAATTAGAACGTGCAACTGTGAGTTGTAAAGTCTTTGATTTTCCTGGTTGAAAAACGTTATGTATTTCTACAACATTCCTTTATTGGCTCGTAATGTAAAAGGTCTAGAAAAGTTAAATAAATATTTAGGGCAAGATGAATACATGAGTCCAGATTAGCGGTCATGTTCTCCCATTTTATACTCATAATTTCATTTCAAACCTGTAAACAAAACATCTTATTGTACTTAGCTTCAGAGCTGATGTGAAAGTTTACCTGTCTGAGATGTTATTTTGGTATGTTCTAATGAATTATAGAGAGAAAATGTCATGGCAAATAGTTAAGTATGTGTTAAATTTTGTTTTAATTTAATTTTATTTTCTGAAGTCAGCTTATTTCAATTTACTGCAATTGTACCTCTCTTTGAACTGCCTGACCTTAGTATTTCTATTAAAACATTGAATATAGGGGGAAGACAGCATGAGTAAATTCAGCAGACAGCTTGCACATGCTGATTCCATTCATTAATGAAGAAAGTCTTTCAAAAAACACCTGGCTGACTGTCATTAATAAAGTGTTTCAGAAAGCTGAGCTTAGTTTTGCCAGCCAGGCCTTGGTGTAATTACTACCAGAAATGTTCAATCATGAAATCACTTAAGTAAAAACAATCTGACAACGTGAAGTAGGCCAAAGGATCTCAAAACGCTACATGCTGTAAAATGTCTCAATCCACAGAAGTTCAAGAACAGATGGAGAAACTGCATCATTGAAATTTACCAGTCTGGAAACTGTTGCAAAGTCATTGGTACGGTTTTGTGACTCATGTGAGCCATAGTGAGGGCCATCATTCAATAATGGAGAAAGGTTTTAGCTGCTCTCCCACACCTATTCAAAGAGTGCATCGATGAGGGATGAAGGCTAGCCTGACGTAGTCCGACTCAATTCTAGTCAGAATATGAGTCTGATACTGCTCCATAGAGCTGTGATTATGGGGCGTGTTTCGAACGAACCAGGAAAAAAAATGCCTCTGCACTCAATTGGATAGATCTACAACCAATAAGAGCAACGGAGTGCGTGATGTATGTTAAGCGAGGCATAGTTGTTGTCCACAAAAATCAAAGCGTGCAGTTTCACGCCTAGAATAAGAAGATGAGACTTGATCGCGTTTCTCTGTTCCTCTTTTAAAATTAATTTGCTATCAATATCTTCTAGAACAGACCTAATAGCAGAATCTACTCACCCAAACTCTCCAGCGGCAGCCATTATTGTTGTCACCCAAGCGCGCTTTGGTCACGTGGTTGATTACGTTACTCTTGATCATCTGTCCATCATCGTATAAAGCCCGCCCTGACAATTTGATTGGATCGCCTGACAGTGGGCGATAATACTCGCGCTACTATGGAGCAGAGCCAGACCGAACTTCCCCGAACTCAAACCTTGTGGGCGGGACTAAGTTCGGACTGGCACCCAGGCTAGATGAAGGTGGCCTCAGAACCCAAAGCATCATCTAAAATACTGCAGACTGTCTTTGCTGCAGTTAATATAAGTGTAATCTGACATCTAAAGGTGTATGTAATTATTTGCTCCTTCAGGACTCTAACATCTAACTATAATGAATAGAACAATTAACTCTGTCTACACCCTTGGGTTTTATAAAATAATCCAACATGAACTAACAAGTCCAACATCATCTGAGAGAAGAACATGTAGGTGAGCGTGGCTTTTTCAAAGTCTGGACTCTAATCCCATTGACATGTTGTGGCATGACCTTAAACAGTTCAGTTGTGCTAGAAAACTGTCCACTGGGACGATAAGACAAAATTAATCCAAAACGATGTGAAATACTAGCAATTGTAGTTATAGGCTTAATACAGAACCAATTGTTCATAGTAGGGGCACAGGGCAAATATTTTTCAACGATTATGTAATTATATTCCCCATAGCACACTTTAAATTACAGGAAAGTTCTTTAAATTACACACAGGAGAATAAAAAACTGATTATTTGTAAAGGTTTGAGCCAATTATGCTCTGATTTAGGAATAATCACCTAAGAAATCCTACACACTAGACAAGCACTCTTCTAAAGAGTAGACATATTATAAACAGAAGACTTTACCAGAGAAATGAAAGAAAATTTACTTGTAGATGCCAAAAATGTTCAAGTTTCAAAGAATGTAAATTCCAGTATCTGTCAGATAAAAAGCCAGTTAAGCAGCAGCAGTCTCTGGTCTTGAAAACAAGATTTGCCTTTGCCAGAGTGTTGGGAAGACAAAGGTATGCAGAGCATGAACTGAAGCAAAAATCATCTGTAGAACATGTGTGGGTATTATTATCTGCAAAGCATGCATGGCTTATAGTGGCAAGGGGTGACCAGTGCCTTTTAATGGTTTCAGAAGAAACAGTAGAGTGAGTTCTATAGTGAACGGCATACAGAGAGAGCTCGGATTGAGCCAAATACAGAACACTTCGCTGAAAGCTGCGTCACAGAGCGAGCTGACCCAAAACATACTGTGGGCTTTGAAGGTTAAGAAGCATGAATAGATCAGCAGGTTGAGTTGCAGTCCAAAGATCCAGAAACTAAGAACAGCTGAAGACATTTGAAATAAAAGCCTTGCACACCTTCAAAAAGAGAGAAATAGATTTTGTTTATATTTGTGGTTTTGGCTAGTTCTTACTGACTCAAAACAAAGCTTTCAAGATGAGTATTTAATTTTTGAACCTTAAAATATTTTTCTAAACCCATCTGTCAAATTAATAGCAAACATCTTAAGAATCCATTAGATATAATTTTCCACAATGCATTCTAAATTTAGATGGTTTACTTTAAGGCCATATCAGTTTAACTGTTTGTTTAAAAACTTACAGGAATGTCTCAGCGTCTGAAAATGTCAAGTTCATGTTGTAAACTAAACTGTTTCAGCAATGACAAAAGATTTTCTCAGACTGCACAAAGCGGTCTTGTTAACTGCATGTTCAAAAAGTATTCAATCCCATACCTCTTTAATTATTATTTATTCATAAAGCACTTTTAAAATAAAAAAGGTAATCAAATTGCTGTATAAAAAAATGAAAACAAGGATACAATTAAAATAGACCAGCGAAATACAGACAAGCTAAAATAGTGATTAAGAGTTAAAGAACTGTTAAAAGTACTTAAATGATTAATAGATGAAAGTAATTAAAACAGAAGAAAAATAGAGTCAAGCTCTCAGGATGTACAAAATGCCTCAGCAAACAGGTTTGTTTTAAGAACTCTGAAAGAGAGGAGGCCTGCTGGACATCCAAAGGCAAAGTATTTCACTGTGGTGCTTCCACCCCTTACATTAATTCCTGTTTTCTTATGTTACAATAACCACGTTTAATATTTATAATTTAGCTTATGTGCAATGCTGTAAGCACTAGGCCACCACTCCCATGTTTCACCATTGGGATGGTATCTTCAAGGTGAAGTGTAGCACTATTTGTCATGTAATGTGTCATGCAATTCTGTCATGCAATGCCTGTTTTCCTCTCCACTGTTACAACGAGCATGCTTCATGTGAGGGATTGCTGATGAGTCAATGAGTCGATGCAATCTGCTGGTTTTCCTTAAATTGAAAACTTTAAACCAATATGACTGTATGATCTGGTTGAATTATCTCTGTACAGGGTCTTGAGCAGTGTTGGGCACGTTACTTTGAAAAAGTAATTAGTTATAGTTACTAGTTACTTCTCCCAAAAAGTAACTGAGTTACTAACTGAGTTACTCCACAATAAAAGTAACTAGTTACTAGTAAAAGTAACTATTGCGTTACTTTTGCGTTTCTCGCCCCCGTAAACCTCACCACCCAGCCCCCACCTTCTCGCCGTGTGTTTCCAAAGCCAGCTGAATAGAGAGGACGACAAAGACAAGAACCTGCAGACAGTTTAGCATTTATTGCAACTCAACGTAAATGACATCAGGGGGAACGCGATGTGAAGTTTTATAACAGGACATTCAGATCTGGTGAGTATATGAAATTAATAACTGGGGATGTCTAATTCTGAAATCCTGTGTGTTTGGGTTGTTATAGATACTGCAACATCTATCTATCTATCTATCTATCTATCTATCTATCTATCTATCTATCTATCTATCTATCTAGATGTATACTCTGTGTGTGACATAAAATATGGATCTCCATCCCTGCCACAAAGGCCATCAAATAATGTTTAAAATAAAAAATACAGTAGGTTGAGAAGGCAGAGCATCCATCCATCCATCCATCCATCCATCCATCCATCCATCCATCCAGATTTCTCCCTTTCTCCATATAGGCTATCATTTCTGGCTGTTGTCAGGTTCATTTGATCGTTCACGCTCTCCATACTTCTCCTGTGGCGCGAGCACAGAGCGACTGTTGCGCGCCTTTAGCGAGCATGCGCGTTTCCTGTCGCTTGCGCGGTGACTCGTGCCGCCTGCGCTGTGTGGAGATGCAGAGGAAACCGTTATGTGATGGGGAAACGCAGCTCTACGTAACACCGGTATTTCCATGTGGAAAACGCTGTTTTGCTGCTGGAGTCATCCTCACTCTCCATCTCTCTGTGTGTGCTGTACGTTAACACCCGCCAGCAGAAACACCCACCTATTCAACTGACAGACGGAATCTCATCCTCCCCTCTCTCATGACAAGGCGCGCACCTCTGGATGACCTAAAATAAATCTTTAATATCTCTTAAACAAAAGTAGCACAAACAATATTTTTTTCTGCACAAATCTGCACTAACGTTGCACTAACCATTCAGTCTATTTGCAGAGTTTTTTGACGTGGGTGGGGTGTCAGCTTCACGCAGCTGCGCACGAGTCCTATCATGAAAAAAGGTTCATTGCGCGACCTAAGTAACGCGCAGTAACGGGGTGCCTGCAATGGTAACTGCGTTATAGTTACAGTCAAAGTAATTAGTTAGATTACTCGTTACTAAAACAAGGTAACGGCGTTAGTAACGCCGTTACTTTCAACGCCGTTAGTCCCATCACTGGTCTTGAGTGAATTGAATTTAAAGCTGCTTTCTTGTTTGACATGTTTGCACTAAGGTCAGATTTGTGGATTGTATGAATTCATGTTTTCTTGACAGATTTGGCTTCCTGAGCTTTGGATCTCTGCAGCTTGTATAGAGGGAGCTTTTTTTTGTTCATGGATGTTCTCTAACAAAAAGATTTTTACTAAGTCAGCTGTATTTAAACAGAATAAATTGTGCACAGATGGATTTTACTCTTTAGGTGACTTTATAAGTAGGTTATCTGCACTGAATTTTATAAGGGCTTTTGAGGTTAAGTGGGATGAATATTCAAGGCTTTTCCAAGTATCGTTTTGGAAGATTTATTTTAAAAAACTTTATTCTTTCTATTTCCACATATTACCTTCCCATGTTTAGATATGAAAGGTCAACAAAAAAGGGTGAATCTAGAAATGAGTTGAAAAAAATAAACATTTGGTGAAGTAACTAAGACTTAGACTTAGACTTAGACTTAGACTTCTTTATTTGTCATTTTGTATGCACAGGGTGCATACAGAACGAAATTGCGTTACATACAGCTTATGAACGTTGCATTGATATTTCACAATGGCACGAGTTATAGAAAAATACAAAAAGTGCAGCAGTGGTCAAAGTGTGAACAGTGCAGAGGATAAGAGACAGTGTGCAAGTTGCAGTGGTTCAGTGCAAAATGGCATTTGTGCAAAAAATGCGTTATTGAAAAATACAATGAGATGAACAATTTAAAGGGCTAAAAGTTAAAAGTTCAGCAGCATTTGATGCCCGATAATGTGCAATAGGTGCAGAGTTCGGATTGTGGATCAAAGGTTCAACAGTCTGATGGCAGTGGGGAAGAAGCTGTTGCACAACCTGGTGGATCTGCAGCGGATGCTGCGGAACCTCTTTCCAGAGGGCAGCAGGGAGAACAGTCCATGGTGGGGGTGTGAGGGGTCTTTGATGATATTACGGGCTCGGGACACACAGCGCTGTGATGAAATGTCCTTAATGGAGGGAAGAGGAGCCCCAATGATTCCTTCCGCTGTCCTCACCACCCTCCTCACATTCTTCCAGTCAGAAGCTCTGCAGCCTCCACACCACAGAGAGAGACAGCTGGTCAGAACGCTCTCTATGGTGCTTCTGTAGAAGGTTGTGAGGATGGGCGGGGGCAGCCATTCCAAAGTTTAAAAGGTCAAACTTTTTTTCTTTTCTTTTTTCTTTTCCTCCAACCTGAATTTCTTTTCATTGCTTCTTGTCTCAGAGGGCCTCTTAACCGCACTGATGTCTAAAACATACGTGTTTGTGTGTCACCCCTTAGACGTGGCGGTGGGCTGTCCATTCGGAGGTGAGGACCACGGAGGCAGGGTGTTGATCTTTAACGGTAACAGAGATGTGTCCACTAAGGGCCTGATGCTGAGCCAGGAGTTGCGAGCAGCCAGGAAGGCCGGCGGCAGCTTGCCTGGATACGGCTTCACTCTTAGAGGAGGCCAAGACCTGGACAGCAACGAATACCCTGGTAAACTTTCAACAATTCCATTCCTCTACTTAGATCCCTTTGTTATAATTAACATTCCTTATAAAAATATATATAAAGTTCAAATCTTTCCTTGTTTAATCCTGACCTCCACATTTCCTAGACCCTGCCATGTCCATGATTCCTTCCTTCTATCTGCTAAAGTCATCAAAAGGGGGGTACAGGGATGTTTGCCATAAGCGGCCGCCGCATCCATTCTCTAGGGATTGACAGTACTCAAAAAGTAGAGAAAACAAGACTTATAATAATATATTATCCGCATGTTCTGTCTGCCAGACATACCTCTGTGTATAGCCCTTACTTAAACGGGGTGCAAGAGAAGCAGAATGCAGAAAATCCCTGCTTGCTCTACCACCCACATTTTACCTTCTCAAATATGTGAAAAAATTACACTCAATTTACAAAACAAACTAAGAACCGGGTTATTTCTGAAGCTGTATTCATCTGTGAGTTGTAAACTCACAATAAAAGGTCTCTGAAACAAAGCAGGTCTGTATAAATCTGTTTTACTACATTATTTTCCACCTAATTTGAAGCCATTCTTCTCTCAGCATTACTTTGGCTGTGTGAGTCCCCAATTTAGGCTGAAATGAAGAATTTGTTTAGTTTTTCCCCTTTTCCTTTTTTTGCCCCCCACTCTCCTTCCTCCTCTTCGTTCTTTTTCGTCTATGAAAACAGATTTCTTCACTCCACAAACAGGATATTGGGGGAAAATACACACACGCAGGAGTACACACAGGCTCACAAGAGCTTTGAGCGTGCGCCAGGCACCATGTCTTGGTCAGACCTGCACAGGCTCACTGCAAATCAGAAATAAAAACACTGTGATAAATATACAAAAAATTATTACAGGTTCAATCCTATGCCGATTGGGAGAGGGAAGCAGGTCACAAAAACAGGGATGGTGGAGCTTTGGGCCAACACACACACACACACACACACACACACGCACACATGCTCTGCATTCACCATCTGTCATTACATCTAGTTAACGGAAGTGCGACATGTGCGCTGATCTCATGTCGTTTGCAGGCGAGTAAAGTCACACGTTCAAAGGAGCGAGGGATGTTTGATCAGCATCACAAGGGGCCAGCACAGGCGTCTGGGAGGCCTGCAGGAGCCACCATATGCACACAGCAACATTAAATGTCATTAGTTTGGTGCAGAAGCAGAGGGAGGTTGATGACTAAGCTCAACTTTCAGCTTTTGTGGAATATGAATCTTAGCATTACTGTAAATTATGCATTTGCCTTGGAACTTGGAAAAAAGTATACTGATTAATGTTCAGCCCTTATTATAAGCAGAGATAAGCAGTTATACAGCATTGTTGATTTGGTGCAATGAGGCTGGTGAGGTGAGTGTTGCAGAGGATACTGCATTTTTAGTTTGGGTAACAGCTAATGGTTGAAATCAATCAGTGTTTCACCTGAGAGGAACAACAGTTTTAACAAAGAGAACAGATGCTGAGTAAATCCGTTCAGTGGCAGTTTGACCGACTTTTGGCGCCAAAGCATCATTCAACTGGCAAATTGGCTGCAAAATTATTCACAGTATTTACACTTTTTCACTTTTTTTAAAGGCACACTGATAAAACATTTGTTTGTTTTATTTAGATTTCATGTAATAGACCAAGACAACTCTGAAAAGTGTGTCCTGCATGTGTCCCTCTGACACTTTCTACAAGCACCTTTAGCCTTAAACTCCTAAAGTGCCTGTGATCAGTTCAGCCTGTAGGGGAAAGTAAGTCTTACGTTTTTTCTTCTTGGATTACTCATTTTTTTTTATATCCATCAATCTTCCCTGCAGAGGATAAACATTTATGTCATGTTTTGTGGTGGAGACAATTTATTTTTTAAGGCATTCTTTCAGCACTCAGCTGGTAAGACACAATTAAAGTCCACATCTGTTGCATCTTGTAGATTTTACCTGAGCTGTGGATATAAGTCTGTAGCTTCTCTAGACTAAAGAACTGGCTGCTTCTTGGATTAATGGTAGGTTTGTAGTTGTGCAATACTTTGTCATTTTCAGATGATGAATTGAGCACAGATCCATTAGATGCTTAAGACTTTGGATAATAAGTATATTGAAAACTACCTCTGTTTTAAACATTTACAACATGTTTATTGACCCCTATTGTGCTAATTGGTCTAAATGAGGCTAAATGATTTATACAGAGATTTAATCACACAGCAGAAGACTCTGCTGACTTAATTACATGGCCTCTAGAAGCAACTGTTATGCAGTAAGTAGTATAAATTGTCATTTACTTTTTTAGTTATAAATTTTTCTGAAGCCAAAGGGAAACACTTTTTTATGTTCTTCATTTTTAACACTTAGCTTTAACTTTAGTGCAATAATACAGTATTATAACATGTTTTCTCAATTACGATATATACTGTAGCTTTCCAAACTAAACATCCTAAACTAAACTAGCAATATAATCCCCCCTATATGGATTGTATTCTGCTCTTAAAAATCCTTCCACAAATTATTTGAAAAGTTCCCAAATCCTTTTCTTGCATCCAAGAATAAAGAAATCATTAATTTCTAACTTTTAACCACTAAGTGCCATCGACCCTTGGCCTTCGCTCTTCAAAGCCAGCCTCCCTGCAGCCAAACAGGCAGTTGCAGCTGACATTCAGTGACAGTTTGGCAGTCTGTCTAAACTCTGGATGGGAGATGTGTTTTTTCTCAGCCCAGGACACACTAACAGCTAGGGAAGTCAAGTTACCCAGGCTGTTCCTACACCTATCAGCTCTCTATCAGTCAATATGTTCTAAGAAGCCAAAAAAACAACAGAATTTGGCAGTTTTGTTGTGTGCCAAGAACTAGGATTTATACTACAAGGAAACACTGGATTCACGTTGATTTAGTTTTTCAATCATCCATATGCTCACTTACGCTCCCGGACACACTTAACCTCAGAATCAGACTCAGGTCATGCAGCTTTACATGAGCAAACATAGTTAGATTAGGCAGCAAACACATCGTCAAACTTACATAGTTGTGGCAGGAATGAAGCTATATGGTTTCAGGAATAAAACAGTGCAATGAAGTGGGGAATTTGGACTGTTAGGTGGTCTTCCTCAACCGTTCTGCTAAAAATACACCTTAGCTTTGACGACTTTTACAGATTGTGGTTTGATGGCAGCCTTTCCATCTTTTCTCGTGTGATTCCTCCCTACGTCCTCCCCTACTTTTCACTCCCCTTTTTTTCTTAACCTACACGAAAACAATTCAGACACAACTTCAGGTTCCTGATGCCCCTACTGGGGGATTTTTAAAACTACTCTAACTACTGTAGGGACAGCCAAGATTTTTTTTTCTCAGGTTTTAAGAATATGTGTTTGGCAAAACATAAGTCCCAGTCTAATTCTTTGCATTCAGTAAAATAGCATTATTTATAATCAGGAATACACGGTCTATATTGGTTTATTGATTGTGAAGCACCAAACTTAATATCAAACACTAACACTACAAAATGTCCATTACATTTATTACATTTTATCTGATTCAACGTTTGCCCCTACAGTCTTGAGTTAGCTTTAATCTGTCTCCTGCATTCATTCTTAATTTCAAACTGGGAAGTTTGGATACTCATTAGTTTTGATAAGACATTTGAATGTTTTACTTGTTTGAGTGTGATTCCAGAAATGTGTGTGCTCTCTACACCCTGAACTACCTTGCCAAAAAATGAATAACATTTTTCACACAAATTCAAACATTTTTTTCTCTGTATTAGCACCCCTCATTCACATGCAAGAAAAAAAAAGGAAAATAATGACAATCCGAAGCTATTTAAATGTTTTTGAACCAGATTCTGGAATGGGGAGTTTGAGAAACTTTGCAGAACATACGCTCATGTTGCAAATGCATGCTTTGTCTTTCCATTCAAAAACATTAGATCAGTAGTTCAGCTTTGCATAGACTGTCTCTCTTTGGCCTTATTCAGTTTCCTCTAAACTTTAGATCTAAGCTTTGATATTAGTGATTGAGAGGAAATTTTAAACAGCATCAAAAGTAAAAACAGGCAAAAAAGAGGATAGTGTTATCTTAAGAAAACTCTGATATTAGTGTTTTCTTATTTGCTGCCCTCCTACAAGAATTGTCTATAATGACATAATATGGCAAATTATATAAGAGTATATGAAAAGAGGTTTGGGCCATAACCAAATTTCTCTAAGTATGCAAAGAGATATCCCAACTCTTTCTCTATGTCAAGTGTGATAACCACACTGTGGTATCACACCGGATGTGAGAGAGTAAATCATCAAAAGAGCCTGACAAATCCTGGAGCCTCCCCGTGTGCTTCTATCCTCCACATGTCACGGTCAGAATTCTGCCATTGATAGTCCTTTTAAAAATGTTAACATAGTTAACAATAATATCATCACCACCTGCTGGTACAGCATAGGTATCAGGACTTACCTGAATGGAATCCCAAAGACAGTGAGCTGTAGACTTACTGAAATAGAGCGGAAAAATGATCAGTTTAAAAGGGTATCTGAACTGCAGCATTAAATTGTGAGACTAAATTGGAATCTGTGAGATTAGGATCAATGATATTATGTGAAGTGGCTATAATACAGATTTACAAATCGTGCACATGACAATAGTCTAAGAAAAGAAATTATCATGCAAAACATTTCATTACGCCTGTGGAAGGAGCTGACATAAAGTTACCAAAAACAAGTATGGCAAGCCTAGTTAATTAGGGCATTTCTGATCATCTTAAAAAGTCTCCATTAAAACTCTGTTAACTGTTCCTTGCTCAAACACACACACACACATTCATAGAACAATATCCTACTTACGGAGGAACATAGTGCACTCAAGGGGGAAAAGGACAGGGCCTGAATGTTTAATGTTGTGGTTTCAGGGGGACCAAGTGACTGCTGCCAAAGGCAGAAACAGATGTGTCTCTCTTAGATTCAATTAGTCTTGTTCCTCTTAAATGCATAAAGGGAAAAAGTCAAAGCATTTGGCAAGCATGGTCTGCAAGAGTGCATTTAAACATTTGTTGCCATCCTTTTGAGGAGCTTTGTAATTAGGTTTTATCTTAAGGGGGCACAGAATTAAACAGCAGAATCACAAATATGCAGCTTGCATTTCTTTATAAAGACAGATCTATAGAAGACGTTGTTTGGTAATGGAAATTTCAGCTGATTTTTCCTGAGCATCATAAAGTCGCAGTGTCTGTCAGGATCACACAGCTTAACTTCCTGTTACATCTGGCAAGAATGGCTTGTATCTATTAAGGCTCTCTTTTCTAGTTTCACATTGTTTTAATCAGATTTTGTGTATTTGAGTAAGTGTGTGTGTGAGTGTGTCTGGCTTCCATTGGTATGTGTCCCCTGACCACAGCCAATAAATACCCTCTCTATTTTAAACTTTGAGAGCCTGTTAAAATCATGTGTTCATCACAAAGCCCATGAAAACAAATAAAATCGCACCATGATGAGATCTGGTGCTGCTTACAGTTTAGACCTCGCTGCTCGGGCTGTTGGGTAATGTTGTTGTTTAGCAATCTGTGATTGGAGTGACAGGAAGTTGGGCCCCTGGAATGCTTCATTTGGTCCCTGTCTCGCAATGATTCATATACCCTATATATGCACTCTTAAAATAAAAAAAGCAAACCCCCATAGTTCTTTTTTTTCATTGAGTTTGGCTTACAAACGGAACAGTATCTCGAAAGAGAAAGCGTAAAGATATCGGAAGGTCACTATGTTACATAGCATATGTGTGTGTTTATACATGTTTATTACATGCAGTGTCTGTGTTTGATGAAGATTATTGGAGACCTTGAAATCAGTCCCATCTGTGGCATTCTTTAAAGCTTACTGTTTTGCACCCCTCCTCTCTCCTTCCTCTCCCTGTGACTCATTGCAGACCTGATAGTCGGGGCGTTTGGCGCAGGAGAGGTCTCAGTCTACAGGTACCGCTATAATAAAAATGCTACATTGTGAAATTTGTTCTTTATGTTGCATCCTAATGAAAAGCTGTCTCTTTGCATGCGTGTTCAGGTCTCGAGCTGTTGTGTCTGTGGAAGCTACAATGACCCTAACACCCAGAATCCTCAATCCTGACGACAGACAGTGTCGCTTGCCTCAGACCTCTAACATGGTGACCTGGTAAAAGCAGCTTCTCTTATTCCATTTTGTAATTTCAATATTACATTTTCCTTTGGTTATCTGCATTTACACATGCACACACATACTCACTCTGCCATCGTAGTGAGGACCATGTGTGTGTCCCATTAACTTCTATTGATTTTCAATCATTTTCACATCTTTCTATGCCCTAATCCCAAAACTAACCCTAATCCTAACCATTACCAATGCATACATCACCCTAACCCAATTGATACCTTAGCCCTAAACCTAATCATTAGAAAATAGCATTGAGGACCAGCAAAATGTCCTCACTTTGCAACAACTGATCCTTAGAAAAAAACATTGATACATGGCTTTTATTTATTACTGGAGGACATCATTTCCTGGCAAAACTTCACAATTTTTCATGCACCTTCAATGGAGGGTGACACAGATCTGGTGAGCTGAAAACTCCAGCAAGCTTGTATACTTGGAGACAACTTAATTGCGTACAAATTTATATTAACATTATATATTTGAAAAGGAAATCTGTTTACTGTATATTCAGCCTCCCTGAATTAATACCTCATATAAACTCTCCAACTTCCACAATATCTTTGTGGATTCACCTTCTACTAGTTTTGCACATCTAGAGGCTTAACTTTATGTATGTCTTTCTTTTCAAAATAACTGGAGCTGATGGAAAGACATCCACACAGTACAATTCTAAATGCAAATCCACAGCACATTTTTTTTTATTTGAAAAACATTTTTTTATTGTGGTCCAAACTACAATTTCACCCAACTTTGTTTTGGTCTAATTATCTAAAGAGATCACATTGAACTTTGTGATTGTTGCATTACAAAATGAGAGAAGACACTGTTTATGAGAGCTAGAGGAAAACACCTTTGTTAAGAAGACATATTTTCTTTATTCATATTCCTATTTTACTTGTGGAAAAGGCTATGTTTGTGTATTCCGTTGAATACACAAACATTTGTATAATTTAGTTTAAGTTTTAGGTACGTAATCAGTCACTTTCACTGGCAAACAGAAAGAACCTGATATAGTTTTCTTTCAAAGGTAAAACAAGCTCAGTTCTAAAACTTAATTATCATTTTTGAAGTGGTTTCTCCAAATCAATAACATATTTTCGCTCTCTAAAGTAGTTTATTTTTTCAATCAAGCAATTTTTATTAAAGATGTAGCTACCAAGCTTTCTTACTTTTCTTTGTAAAATGTCCAGACCTTAAATTAACAATGTGTTGAATGATGGCCATAAAAAAATTGCAACACAGTCTCTGAAATAGTTCGCAGTTTTACAGCCAACAAAAGATGAAAAAGTTAGACCATTATTTATATTAAAACCAAAATAAAAAGCCTTCAATCTATTATTTTTTTAATCAAAATAAAGTCTAAGTAAGTGATTGAAGACCAGAAGTTGGGGAACTGACCTCATTTTTTTTCATTGAACATGATGAAACTGTTGAATTTATTAATATATTTTCACTGCTGACTGGTGCATTGTTAATTTATATTTTGGGAATTATCACTTTCTTGCTTTCCTAAATTTGTAATTAGCCAGAATGTAAGAGTATTATCCCTGCCTTGTTTTGTGCAATGTTGTTGTTTATTATTATTTACTCACTTTGCATATAATTGAGACACAATTTAAACCAGCTCTGTTTTTGCTACAGTATGACAATGTAATAAAATCCTATTGCTTTATTTGTTATTAATATCTAACACTGAGAGAACAATGGACAATATAGAAACACATTCCTCTCTAAACTGATTTGAAAAATATATACTGTACAGGTGCAAAATGTGTTTTCTTTCACCTTTGCCCCTTTATTCGGCAAAGAGAAGCATTTTGTTTACTTGCTTTAAGTTTAACATAAACCGATGGTTCCTGTTTTTAACCCAAATGATTAGCTGTTTCTGCACCCCAGTTTGGTTGTTGCTGTGCAACCTTTTGAGAGAAAAACATTAACCTATTGCCAAATGTCTTTATTACCATTTTCATATTTTAGACGGATTTCTCTCTGCCAAATGAAGAAGTACAATAAATGCTAAGAGGAGCTTTGTTGAAAATCTTTACATGTTTTGGTTGACAGGAGCAAAGAAAACAGAAGTTTTTGAATATTGTAGATGAACAGACAAAGCCGTGGTTGAGATTACACTTGATGTCATATTTGATATGCTACCCTGTACATGACATTATGAACCACAGTTTGTGAAACTTTATTTCAAATTAAAAACTATTGAAAGAGCATAAACTAGTTCATGTTAGTGAGCGTTTTTGTCAAAGTGTTTAGGTATGATTTTATCCTTTTTGAACCAAGATTAGTGAGTAATTTTTGTTAAGGATAAATATGCACAACACCAGTAAACAAAAAAAACGCCACTTTCCCAAACATTCCAACTCAAGATGAAAGTTGAAAGATTCATGTTGGACTACTAATCAGGTTAGTTTGCTGTTGGCCTATAGCCTATTACTATTAATAGCCTATTAACAGATCATATTACAGAGCAGGTAAATTAAAGCAAGAAACGTTCAAAACCTTAAACTAACATAAAACTAATGAGGCACCCTGCTGTGCTGAAACTTATATCTGTAACAGATATTGTCCTGCTCACACCGCATCCTAAAAAGATATGCAGCATTACACACATTCTTTCACCAATTATACTCACAATGACAGATGTGACAAATATTTCACCTCTGAGATCTAGATGTCTGCTGTCAGCATTAGACTGTTTGCCTAACACTACAGTGCGTTAATCAGGCAGCCCATAAAAAAACAAACTCATATATCCTGAAAATTCCAATTTACCAGACTCTGCAATTAATTTGAGACTGCATTATTCTGTTTTGACTATATCATTGCCCGTGTGGGTGGCAGAGTGGCTTTGACCAGCCTCGGCTGCAGTTTAGTTCAGGGAAACCAGCCGAAAGGTTCTTCCCACTTGGCTAATGTTGGTCGTAAGGTATTGGAACTGCTGGAGGAGCGTTTGGATGGGAGACGTTTGGCTTGGCTCATTTCCACAGTGGTTTCTCTGAAGCACTTTGTGAGTATTGGCAGCAAGCGGAAAAGTAACTGGGTATGAATCGGGTCAACAAAAAGCACTAAACAGTGTGAATACTATAAACTTTCAGTTCAGTGATATAGACTGAAGAAGTCATTTCATGATGAAAGCAGCAGTAGAATAAAAGAGTGTTTCAGTTATCTAACTCTGGGACATTTCAGCTGTTTTCCATCAGTTTTAATTGGATAAGATGAAATATCTCTGTCAAGTTGTAGAGCAAGTGACTTCGTGATAAAGTGTTTTGGGGAATGTTGGCCCATTGGGTAGAGCAGTGCGCTTGTGCTGTGATAAGGTTGCAAGTACCTGCTTCGATCCCCACAGGCTCCACTCTAGGATCCTGAGCAAAACCCTTAACCCCACACTGCTCCTTGGGCACCGCACAATGGGGGTGGGTAAAATGCAGAAAGTGAATTTCCCCATTGTAGGAAATTAAAAGGGATTTACATAAATACAGTAACCACCACACCTTTAACACCAGAGATCATTAAGACAATGTTGGCTGTTGTCCTGAATGTGTTTCAATAAACTCCTGAGGTTCTTGTTACTATTTTGGCTGAAAAAATATTGTCTCTTCTCCAAAAGCAAAGACAAAAATCATGCCTTTTCTTTCAAGCAATTGATATTTTCCTTTATGAAAGGAAAGATGGGAACAATAAATTAATCAAATTGGTTCTATATCTAACGAGAAACCTAAATATCTGGTATCATTTGCATTACTAAATGCTATTACTTAGCTTATCCCTGTGGAAATAACATGCAAAGAAAACCTCCAGTTAGGATTCAAACACGGGACTTTCTTTTTGTTCGTTACCACAGCAACCCATTGCACCACCAGAAACTCACAGTAAAGTACTTATTTGTAAGATCAGTTTGAGAAATGTTGGTCTTCTGCTATGTTACTGCTGCAGGAAAAATATGTCTTGTTAAAGTTTCATATGACATTTAATATTTTTTTTTCTCTTAGAGGATAATGCTTAGCTCAGTGATGTTTGTATAATAGCTCAAAATGAGACTCACACCTGGGGCTAAGTGGAAAGATCAAAGTGCCAGTGAAAAGGGGAAATTGTTAAGTGAATAGTTACTTGAATTACAGCCAGTTAAACTGGAAAAGAAATTGTTTTCTGCAACACATTGTCCGACTTCTCAAGTATGAAAAGTGCGTAAACCTGCCAAATAACTGCATCCAGGGCCAAAGGAAATGCTGGCCCTAATGCTGACCCTAATAAAGAGTTAGAGAGCTGCAAAGCATGCGGGAGCTTCCTGAGAAAAAATCAAAAAAGACTTTAATGAAATCCATCTATATCTTTATTGACTAATGCAGCAACAATATGTCCTTGTCTGAGAGGAAAATAGCTTCGTAATCAGATTTTATAATGATATTACTAAGTATTTGCGTAGGTTATTCAGAGCAGACTCTTGGCAATGCTGAAAAGGATTTACTGCAGGGACTGAGTGCCGTCTCGTCTCATGTAGGATGGAGCAGCACAAATGCATTTCGGAGAAATTGCATAACAAAATAACTAACCTGGGGATCATTTCTGCGTAGCATAACCTTAAATGTCACACACGGCTTTTATTGGTCACACACTCTCACACACCTTAATTTTAACAACATATGTTAAACAAACGTACACAACCACCTGGAAATGTTTTCTTTTAGAGCTAAGTTGGTGTTTTGTCACACGAACTCATGAAGCTGTCATTCACACCAAGCACATTTTAACAGCAGATTATCAGAATTATCGTGTTATCCGATGGGAATCCTAATTATTAACAAAAACACACATGGCCGCAACATCTGCAACCTGGTTTCCTAAACTCTCCGTAAACTGAGACAATCTTACAGGTGCCAGTTCTGAAACAAAACCTGCATTAGGTCATCTGCCTCACTGCTGCGAGTTACACCCATGAGATCCACCAGATTACTGCATATTAGCAGAGTAGATTTCCCTGTGTGGGAGGCACTTTCCTGTTGTTGATTAAAGAGGTGATAACACACACCGAAACGCACTTACACAGCGCTTAATAAACATTAGTAGAGGAAATGCAGAAAGGTTTCCCAGTCTCCCATGTCTGTGTGTCTAATAGTTGGACCTCCACTGTAATTCTTATTGACCCCTGCAGTAGAGGAAGGAAGAAAGGCCTTGTTTAGAAGCAATTTATTTACTTAGTGAGTTCCCTGTTTAAAATGAACTTCTATCGGAAACAGACAAAATAAATTAAAGCAGTCAGTCTGTCGGGCTCATAGCACAGTGTGTCTGTGGCTTTATTGTGCATTTGGTACTCTGTCCTCTTTATATTAATAAAAAAGTCAGATCTGATGTGAAGAATTTAGAAGATCTCCTGAATTCATTTTAGAACTTTGTTTTTTCATTTTCCTCCAGCCTGAAGGTAGATGTGTGTGCAGCAGTGAGTGGTGTGGGGATCCCCAACAATGTAGGTAAGTAACTGCACAGGGTTTACATTTCACAGGTGAGATGAAGATCCATCTGAAATATCAATATTTATATCTATCTATCTATCTATCTATCTATCTATCTATCTATCTATCTATCTATCTATCTATCTAGATCTATCTATCTATCTATCTATCTATCTATCTATCTATCTAGATAGATAGATAGATAGATAGATAGATAGATAGATAGATAGATAGATAGATAGATAGATAGATAGATAGATAGATAGATAGATAGATAGATAGATAGATAGATAGATAGATAGATTGTATCATAGTATTTGAAATTTGAATCTATTGTTTTCTCCTCCCAATATCTGCTCAGGTTTAAAAGCTGAGCTTCAGCTGGATTGGCTTAAAGGCACAAGGGGCGGGGTTAAGCGAGTCCTCTTCTTGGACACCCATGAGACTCAGCGCTCAGGGCTCCTCAGACTGGGTCAAAGCCGCCCACAAGCGTGTCTGAGCTATATGATTTATCTGAAGGTAAGTCCCAAAGTAGCACACTCATATAAGAACCAGTCAGTAGGCTACCTGTTTAACCATAAATATAATTACAGTCATATTGTCTTCTCTTTCTCTTGCTTTGCAGGAGGAGGATGAGTTCAGGGACAAACTGACCCCCATTGCTTTGGCCCTGAACTACAGCCTCGCTCCACCTTCTGGAGAACAAACTCTTCCACCGATTCTCAACCAGTACAGCAGCACATTCCTCCAGGAACATGTAGGTTTACATTTTCAGAGATTTACATCAGAAAGCTCTAGTTCATTAGATTATGCTATCCATGTAATAATCCGATCAATGATGACATGAATTTTTAAGATGAACCTCGTGTGAAACAATGAAAAGTTGAAATCAAAACCCTGATGCATAACAGGACTTATTATGACTAGATCAGTGTACACAATGTTCCACATTAACTACCTTTAACTGAGATACAGTATAAATGCCCAGCACAGTTAACTCTGGGAAACCTTTTCCCCGTTTAGTTCAGCAGTTTAATATATAACAGCAATAAACAATAATAAGAATGATGAAGACATTGCCGGCCACGCAACAAAGCCCGGGAAAGAGAAAATCTCTCAAAGAAAGGAAATATGTGTAACCTAATGAATTAGAACCCCCCCCCCCCCCCCCCCCCCCCCCCCCTTTGATTGCTCTTTATCAAAGTGGATGTGTCCAAATAAACAATGAGATCTTTTAAATCTTTCGGCGCCGAGCTTTGGTGAGCAGAACAGATTCGACTTCTGAAAGAAGTGCGCACGTTTTTATTAATAAATATTGGGTGTTTTAAAAACTAGATTTCTCTGTTTATATATTGACCAGAAAAACTCTATTATCAGTTATTTTTAATCCACTGAGTAATTACTTACCTTTTTTTTGATATATTTTATCACATTTAAAGCATCAGTTCTCAAGCTGTGGTACAAATAGTGCAACTTGGGTTCTCTTCAGACTGGAAGAAGCTCTTTTTAAAGGGGATAAAAAACATCATAAATGCATATAAACCATTGTTACATTAGCTAGTGGGACATTTTGCATGTTAGGCAACCACATTAGATATTGAATCAGGGTTATAAGAATTTCCAATAGCAGATTTATAGTCCTTTTTTTCATCATAAATTGCAGTAAACTTCTTCCGCTCATGCATTTCCAGCATATTTTTTCTGCTGTAACCAAAGAGACTATCAAAGTACCATTTATTCTTTATTATCACATTTTCATCAGTATAGTGATGCTTGTGAAAAATAGCTTTTCTGTGAGGTGGTCCTCGTTATGAAAGATTAGAGAACCACATGTCTAGTGATAACTGAACAATTTTCCTCTAACGTTCCTTCTCCATGTGCGACTCTTTCTTCGCAGGCTTACATCCTTCTTGACTGTGGTGATGACAACATATGTATCCCCGACCTACAGCTTTCTGCCAGCATGTAAGGCTTTCACAGTGACGCCCTTTGACCCCAACCTGCAAATCCTAGACTTCCAAAAAGCAGGCATTCATGAAAGTAAAGCAAAGACAGAATGTCTGCTATTCCTCAACAGATGATCACGTTTTACAATGAACACATTGCTCACATTTTGGTCACTTTCAACCTGTTAGAGATGTTGCGTGCACACATGAATGTGAAACAACCTTCTCAGTATAGTGTTTCCAGCTGTGCGGCATCTCCATGGCAGCCTTGTATAAATATTCTCTCACCAGGCAGTGACTAACACATACACGCTCACGCACTGTTGGGGGCTGTTGCATTCCTGTGCAGCTGATTGCACATTAAGTGCAGTCCTAAAATGATAAATGTCACAATTTGCTTCTTTTTGTCAATCATTGTCTCTGTCTCAACACACAAATCCAGGGATCGCTCAGAGTTGCTGATTGGAGATGACAACCTGGTGATGCTGACCATCACTGCAACGAACCAGGGAGAGGGGGCGTACGAGACAGAGCTGTACACACGGATTCCACCGGAGGCCGACTACATTGGAGTAGAGCGCAGGCTAGAGGTGGGGCATCACATGAAATCTCTTGATTGAATCAATATCAAGTTGATATTAATGACTGAAATATACAATGTGGGTTAGATGTTTACATGTACTTATCACAGCCTTAATCTTGAATTTTTAACAATGCATTTTTCAGCATAAATCAGGAAGTGATATTATTTAACAGCTCTGACTAATTACATGAACAACAACTAGGTGCACAACTTCCCAACCGCTGCTGGGTTCATCGACCCTCACCAAGTTGCAGGAAAATCCCTTTAAGTAACAATCAATCAGATTCTGGTATAATTCTGGCTTATCTGACCGACATTTATTCCAGAATGTATCAATCTCAATAAAATGTGTTAATTTACCATTTGCATTTTTGGTGCTGCGCCATTGTTTTTAAGAAAAGCCTACAAATTATCATGATTATGAAATGGTTTTTCAGTAGTTTGTGTTAACCTGCTTTATTTGATAACCATTCCAAACCAGTTCCAATGTGTGTTTGGTTTCATCTAGGAAAATCCGGTTGTTTCTAAATTTTAACCATTTAGCTGCCACTTTGAAGTAAAGTTGGAGAACTCTGTTGTGGAAAAGTAGAGCCTCAGCATGATACTACCACCACTGTGCTTTCCGTTTTTAAGGGTTAAACAAACCTCCCTTTAACTCCTTCAAAAAAAAAATTTATTTTTGGTATTGTGGCCGAATATCTAAATCTATCTCTCATCAGACCTTAAAATAATTTTCACTGGAGGCCATTTTGGCATCTTGGCATTTGCGTGTACCAACAGTGCTATGATCTCAAACACATATTGGATCAGTTTTTTGCATGAATAAAGTCATCTTCATGCTTTTGGTTTAGAATTGGCTCCAACATTAGCATGGTTTCCATGCCTGGAAGCAAACATCTGAATGAACTCTAAAGTAACCTTGTTTTACAAAAGGCCTATATGGATCCCCTGCAACTTGCTAAGGGATATTATTTAAATACTAATGGGCACTGTGTGAATATATTTCAGTCTCTTTGTATAGTTTTGATTCTTTCAAGTTTAAAGAAAATGTGCACCAAAATGAATCCTTATTTTGACTGCAGCCAAAAATCATTTAAGGAAGTGTCCTATTTGAGGCTGCAGTTGCGGTGCAGCATCACTTCCTGTTGTACCATTAAGTCATGCATCTGGCCTGATTACTGCAAGGCTATCAGCAGGATATGCTTTACTGGCATCAGCCCAAAAGCCCCTATTATGATTAAAAGGCTGCATTAGCTGCCATGGTAATGGATAGGGTCAGTTTGTTCAAGTGTGTCTGTTTGATGGCACACGTGTGTGTATGTGAGCTAATGAGGGTGTAATGGAGCTTTTTGATTGATAATATTATTAGTTTCAGAGTATCCATCACTCTTTCCCTCCTATGTTCCTCCTCCTCTGGATTCGGATGGCCTCTTACCTCCTTATGTTTTCCCCATCGTTCCCAGTCTTATCTGTTTTTCTTTCACCAGTCTCTCACTCAGCTAAACTGCGAGTACAAGACCATCAACGAGTCCAGGGTGGTGGTTTGCGATCTCGGGAACCCAATGGTGACAGGAACAGAGGTGAGTTGTGAGTACCCGAAAAACATAAACTCCAAACTCACACGCTACAATAAAACATCCATGCTAAGAAGTTCTTGCCACACTTAATTTGAATGATGTTTCCCAAAGTCGTCCGATCACCACCTTGACCCTCATTCCTTACCCTCTGACTCCCATGGCTGTGCTTGTGTCACGCTCAACTTGTGCATGCGTTCCGGGGTAATAATCCGCTTGGCTCCCTAAAGGCCGACATACACAGGAAACAGAGGCTTTGTAATTTAAAGAATGGTCCCTTGCAACATGAAATTCTAGCACTGTTTAGCAAAATGCAGCATGCTCAAAAGGCATGTCGCGTGTGTGAGCATGTATTTTTTCTTTTAAAGATGTCAAGGCTGGCAGGGAGGAGCGTCAGCTCTTGGGAGTCGACACACGGCATTCTGATAAATCAATTATGTGGTCATGTTTCACAGTTTGGAGGAGGGGGGCCATGTGTGTTTGTGTGCTCCCCAGCCAGCCAGATGCTTCGCATATTCTGCTTTCCCCTTGCCCTGTTGGACGTTAAGGAATCCATCAGCTTACGAAGAACATACCTTTACACACACCCCATACAAGTTCTCTGAGCACAGGTCTGATCGCTCCGGTTCATTGTTTGTGCCACATGACACAGCTGTAGAGACTCACTGGTCAGACTGATTGGTGTAGGAGGTCCATGTCTGAAGGTCCTGTCTGAAGGAATGTAGATTCCGACCCTCTGGCCTGCCTCTATATCTGCATTTTCTCTCCTTCTATAGTGTGAAAATTTACCTCGTTTATCAAACCTCTATTAAGTGACAGAAAATCTCTGTTATCTATATGATCAACAATCAACAACAGAAGCATAATTTTGTAATCTTTTAAAGAGATCTTTTCAAAGTTCATAGACCTTGACCTTCTCTATAAGTCTGTCCTCATTTGTTTTGAGCTTTAGTTGTTTTTCTTTTTTCATTTGTTTTCTTTATTATCCATACCATCTATTCATTTTAATTTTCGGTCTTATACATTGAATTAAGCAAAAACATAGAATCACCATGTACTATATTAAGTTTTACCTGTGTTCTGCTCTTTTAAAGAGGCTTTTCAGTCACAGTTTGCCAACAGCAATTTTATAATTACAATGATACATAAAAAAAAACGCCCAACTTTTCTTTCTTTTAATTAACAGGAAAATGCAGCAGCACTAACCAGCTGGCCAGCAGTGTGCAGCAACGTACAGGGAAGGGTCGGGACTGTGTTACTCTTTGATTTAAAAAAAACCCTGAGAAAGTTCTTAATGGTGACTCTGAGCCCTTTCTGGTTAATATAAATAATTAGCTTTGAATGATAAGAAATGCATTATGGGAAATCAAAAAGAAAAAAGATTACAAATGATTTATTTTTGTGTGAAGAAAGAGTATGGTTCATTTCTGCAGTTTTAAAGTCTTTGTTTCTGCATGATTCATACGCTAGGTTGGATTTAAGTGGGTTAGCAACCAAAACACATCCTTCTAAGTAAACTTTCAACAATAAAAAACACACAGTGGCCAAAGTCAGTCCTCAGAAATCCTTCTTAAAACCCCTTTTAACAAAGCATTTGTGCATGAAAGCAAAGTACTAAATGAAATCAGGTTGTGTCAGTACTGTTCCAAATATACAGTTTTATCACCCCCACATGATGCACAATAATCACTGATAAGGTAAGGAGCTATTTTATTAGCAGAAATTTCCCTCCTTGATGAAGAATGCATCTCTGAAGCCTGCCTTTAGCAGCTGCACAAACTTAAGTGCAGACTGCAAGGGGGACCCGTGTATGATGTCGGATCTGTTTATTCAGTAATTCTGTTATCAGATCATTTAAACAGGGCAGCCTAGGCTGGACGTGATGCTGCTGTCTGTGCTTCACCAGGTTTTCATCCTCAAACCATCGTAGCCCAGAACAGTGTAGGGCTCATCCCACAAGGGCTGCAGCTGGAAACCAGTTTTCTAACTCCACTGTGTTTAGATCTGTTTGAATATCTATCTTTAAAGCTTTGAACACATCAATAAGGAAAGGTAGATTCATATAATATTTACCACAGCTCCTCTGTTTTAATTTTCAAAGATGACATTTTTTACTTTCTTCAAAACTTCATTTTTCGGGCAAAGAGATATTATCCCACTAATATCCCCAAAGGACATAATAGTTATCAATGCAGAATTTTAAAACGCTCTTCATGAATGTAAAATCTGGGACACAGAGCTGTTGCTGCTCACATTTCAAGGAGTTTGATTACATTAAGTCAAAGCTTTTTATCATGCCGATGTTGCTTCCTTATATCTACCTGTTTAGCAGGCGATTGTTTTGCAACATGGATTTATCTATGCTTCAGCTTAGCAGTGGTATATTAAGCCCTTCACTATATCTTATTTTTTTTTCAGTTTAGAGTTGTAACCAACTCTTTTAAGAACGAACTGAAGACTTCTTTCAGAGGATATATCATAATAAGCATGCATCACCAATTCAGAAAATACAACTCAAGCAAATGTATTATCATAATTCATCAAAATACCAACCAAAAAGTTTTACACAGTTGTTTGGATCAAATAGTAAGCATGGGTCAAAAATTGAATTTTTTTGTATTTAATATACTCCTGATAAAACTCTGAATTAAGATCATACCAAAAGATAGAAGAAGAAGCATAATTTGAACACTGGTTCAAACATTTAAAACACTTGATTCAGGTGTGTTGGACTAGAGAGATATGTAATAGATAAATTACATATCTGATAAATAGATAAATTCTCAGTCACCAGGAACATGGCAGTCACAAAACAGGCTCAAAAAGACAACTGGACTTTGGCACAGTTTTTCTGAAAACATTTTGACACTTATTGTGAGTTTTTGTCACTTCTTTTGGCTCGCACCAGAGCAATCTATAGTTGGAGCGCTGATGTTTTTAAGCAGGAGAGGTCCATCAATCTGAGCACATTCCAGGTCCCACCGGTTGTTCTTAGAGGTTGTTGAAATCTTTTGTTTCATATGGATTTTGTGTTTGGTTATGTGAATCATAAATGTGCCTCTGTAACCTCTTTGGAATGAGTTCCAGGGCAGAGTTCTAGATGCTTGGAAGCTGAAACCGCAATCCACCCCCTCTGTTCAGTGATGCCTTTTTTCTTTTAACAACTGTGGCTTCCTTTACCCCTCTTTCAAACCATCTGTCCAAAATCTGACCATCTTGGTCATCAAACATGTGTGCTTTGTTCTTAAGGTGACAATGTTCTGCTGAATCTTACCCAGAGTTGCTAGCTCTCCTGTGCTGCGCCATGCATTTGTGTAGTTGTAGTTTTGGTTTTTCCAATACAGGATTCTGAGCAACCCTTGCTGCAGTGGCCTGCATTAACAATGCTTTATGTGTTTTGTCTTTGTGATAAACCAGTTTTTTTTATTTTGTGTTCTAAATTTACTGTTATTTTATGTTTAGAGAATCCTGAGTTTATGAGAAACTCATGATAAAAATTGATTTTAAATGTTTTTAGTTTTTCTGTCCTCTCATTCAAAACTAACAAAGACTTCAGGATGGGTGTCCAAAGGTTTTCAGAAAAACCGAAAGTCTCGTTACCTCCAGTTTAAGCTTGTTTTGTGGCTGATCATATCTAGATTTCTTTCAAAATCTTCTTATATTTAAGCCTTTAAATATACAAGTAGTTGATGAAGGGAATTAACACATAGTTGCACTGCTGATGGTGAAAAGTGACATTAATAACAAATTACAGAAAAACTATATTTCTACTGCTAAAAACTTTGCAAGATTGACAAAAGCTTCCAAATTATTCCTGGTTGCTTAAAACCAATGTTCCCGCTGTTGCTGTAAGGAATCATTGTTTTCTGCATTATAGCTAAACTCTCTAAGCCAAAGCTTTGCAGCCACAGGATAACTACAGCCAAATGCAAAAGTGGTTTACTTAGTACACATATATTTGATTGTTTTTTTTAGGATACACTGAGCTTTCAGACAGAAATGACAATGGCAAGTTCTTTGACGAATTTATAACAGATGTTTTTTTTTTCTTTTTTTTATCATTATCCTTATGAAAACAAAGGATCTATTCAAACAAAGAAAAATCAGCTGAAACTCTGAACTCTAAGGTTTTCAGATTTGTATCAGACCTGACTGTGTTGCTGTACATATTCACAGTACCCATCGTCTTCTTTTGATTTTTCACTGAACAACACATTTAGTGCCTGTCTCTTTAGACTTTCTCAGTCTGGCTTTTCTCTTCCAAGTGTCCCTAACGTGTCCTTTAAAGATAGCCTGACTTTGTACCTCTAACGCCCTGGAGACATGGCTCTTGAAGTTTTTAATACAAGTCTGCATGCTATCATTTCCCCCCTCTGGACTGTGGGCTTGACCCATTTTTCAACAGAGATCACATGTGCATGTAAATACACATGCGGCGCAGCAGTTTATGGCGTACCGAAGCCTCCACGTGTTTCGTGTTAGCCTAGGGGACAGGAGGATTTAAACAGAGGAGAGACGAGGAACTTGACTGTGGTTTTTAAGTATGTGTCTGTAGTCTGGCTTTTGTCAGATTTAGGAAACTTGCTGTTATCAACACACGTTTACACAATCCAGATATTGTGACAATGAAGTAACAGAAAAAGGTTCCAGTTACATGGATTTTACTGTCAGTTCAGAGCTGCCTTTGATTTAGACATGTCTCTCATTCTCCACCATCCTCCTATAGATTCCCTTCTCAGTCTGTCGTCACATCATTTTAATACATTCTCTTTGTTTTTGGGGGGTTTCCTGTTGTTCCCTGGACAGCTCACCGTTGGTTTGAGGTTTTCAGTCCAAAGGGTGGAAGACTCCGGACCAAAAATCAGCTTTGAGCTACAGATCCACAGGTGACGCAATCACAAGCTCACTCATACAACTTAGACACAAAGATCTGTTTGTCTTTCCTCTGATCCGTGTAAATTTGTCCCGACTCAATGCTATCAGTGCTATACTGTCACTGTCTGCGGTCTCATGTGCCTGGCCACAGTGATGAAGAAAGACAAGGGGAACAATATGCAACTGTTTGTTGTACTGCAACAGACTGCAGCATTTGTCATTAGTACAAGTACTTATCCCCTGAGGGAAGATTTCAGGAAGTAAGCTGAATATTCTCATCTAATTTTTATCAAGAGCTGCATTAAAATTTACTTTAATTTGTAATACTAGTAAAATATCAGCTTTTTACAAAAATGAGATAAAAGCATAAACTGAAAGATATGCAGCCCAGGAGAGGAGTGGCAGCCTAGTGGATGGGCATAGAGCTTTGAATCCTGAGGTTCTGAGTTCAAGCCCCACTTCCACAGACTGCCACTCTGGGTCTCTGAGCAAGACCTTTAACCTCACACTGCTCCCTGGGTGCTGCACAAAGGCAGCCCACTGCTCCCCAAGGAAATGGGTTAAATGCAGAGAGTGAATTTCTTTGCTGTATACTTGTGACACTGTAATGACAATAATAGGCTGACAAGAGAAAAACTTTACATACACCTATTATGGGCAAGAATTGCAAATTCATGTCTATAAGTGTATGCAAATTCTTTTGCTATTTTTTTCACCCTTAATACATGATTGAAAATCAACCGATTTAGGGTCATTCTAGAAATCAGTACATTTTCCCTGATCCATGGAGCTATTTTAAAGTTACTGCTTCCTGTCAGACTTGGATTTTAAAGCAAACCCACGCATTTCCAACTGGACCGAGATCAGGGCTATTCCACAGGCTGTATGCATTTATTCCCAAATGCATCCACTTATTTGGGCTTTACTTTTTTTTTTTTTTATCATCCCACTTTCATTTTATTATATGCCAAACAAATTTTTAAAAAGGATAAGTTGCTATTTTCAAAAGTGTAGTTGGTGTTTTAAAAGGCATTCGTAGGTAGTTCTGCTCAAAGTGTAATTCTCTCCACAGCTCCAACAAGGACAACTCTGACAGCAACCTGGTCAGTTTGAATCTGACCATTACTGCCAGTGCCCAGCTTGCATTGCGCGGGTGAGTTGATTACATTTTTATGCCATATGCGAGAACCTCCCTCCTCCTCCCTCTCCACTACCCACTGCTGCAGCCGATTTGCTTTCAATTTTATAGTTGTTTATGAGAAGGGATTTCTGCTTTTAAGATGTTTGGATTTTTATGCAACAGCACATATTTACTGACATAAATTCAAACAAAATAAATGCATATGAGGTTATTCGTCAGCTTTTCCATACTTATGCGTATACAGTAGTCTCTCACACAAAGTTCAAAGCCTTGCGGCTGACATGCTGTTGTTTGGGTGTGGTCAGCTGAGGACATAAACGAAGCAGCGATGGGGAGAACCTGGAGGAGGATATGCAACACTGTTTGTCCTGTACGGTGTTCTGCTTCAGATTACATTTTTTTTTTCTCATACTGCTGCTGTAAAACATTATACGGATTTTAACTTCTGATGAAACTGTCATGTTGAAGTAAGAAATTAGCCTTGACTATGGGGTGTGGCTTGCATAGCTCAGTGATTGGTCCATGCAGCCCTATAATATCTATACTTCTATCTGGCAACCTAGATATTTTTAAATATTTAATCTGAACTTTTTGAAAGGTGTCAAAAATGTATCAGAATGAGGAACGTTGCAGACATTCCCATTAAAAACTGAAATCGTTCACAGATTAGATTTTAGATTAAATTTAACCTAAATATAGTTTTGTTGACAAAACAAGGTGGAAAATTGCCAGAGTTTATACTTCAAAAAATGGAAATCTAAATTTCATTTTTTTTAATATATGTCCTTTTTTTCTTAAATTGAGGATGTAAGCGAGACACTTTGTCAGTGCAACAAGAGAATTTACATGTAAAATAAGAAAAAAACAATTTCATTTTCTTATTTCAAGTGCATAATATCTAATAATGTTATCTTAAGAGTAAAAACACTCATTCCCACATCCTCTGCTCAAATTATGGGTAGATATAGTTGATTTAAGACATTATTACTTATTTCTAGATTTTTTTTGCAGTGTGCAGATTTTTTACATTTTAGATTTTGCAGGTTACAATTAACCTGCATGGCTGAAACTGGTGCATATGCTAGAATGATGCAAGTATTTGTCTGCATAGAGTAGCATATGAATAGTAAATGTTAATATGTCATGTTTTTCACATTTAATCCAAATTTTATGGCACAGCATGTGTGTACAGCGCTACATCTCAGAATTATAGTAGTCGTGAAGTTTATATTCTGTGACCACCTGAATTACCTGGGGATAAAGTTCTCTACACTGTAGTTACAGAGAAAAAGGGAGGCTGTTACAATATTTACTTTGTAACTGTGTTTACATTCAGTCAATCTGTTATATCTGTTTTTCTGCTTCTTGCAGAGTGTCTCATCCCTCTCAGGTGGTGCTGCCATTCCCCAACTGGGAGCCTAAAGAGAAACCTGTTAAAGAGGATGACGTTGGTCCACAAGTCACACATATTTATGAGGTACAGTTCAGATGAATATATTTCAAAGTTAAAAGATGTTAGGTGTATCACTTTGAAAGATCAGCTGGGAACCAACTAACCACTTTTTATCAAATTAAGTAGAGAGGTGTGGCAGGGGGAGCGGGTGTTAAACTTTGCTACTTTTGACCTTATTTTGCTGATTAAGAAGGAAACAGGATGAGGATAAAATAGGTGTGTGAAGTTGCAGTCAGGGTTAAAGGATTCGAGAGTTCTTCAGGGTGAAGTAAACACCAGTCAAAGTAAAACCAGTTGCTCTATAAAGAATTAAGATGTGGCTGATCAAAGGTCTCCAGCTCAAAAGTAATTACTGCTATGATGACAGGAAGGAGTGAGAAGGAAGAAAAACAGAAGGGAACAGCTACCTAATGAAGGGGGAACAGGCAAACAGAAATGTGTAACAAGTGAGTGTTTTAGAAAAAATTAATCTGGGGAGTTAGAGATGTGCAAACCAGTTAAAGTACGCCATCATCTGTCTGTACTCATTTACTTCCTTTTTTTTCTTGCTTTAAATGTTGGGAAGCTTCACTGAACCGGAGTGCAGTGTTGCCTGGCCTGTCCTGCAGCTGATAATGATTTTCATTTGTGGTACTTCTCCCAGTGGGCAGCTGCTTCTAGTTAGGAGGGAAGGTTGTTTTTTTTCTCCTCTTTTTAGAATTCCTGCCCTGCAGCACCAGGATCATGTCCTGTTTGGATGACTTGCTTCAGTATATTATAGGTAGGGGGTGATGGGGGTGCATATCAGGGGGAGATAAAGGCGATAAAAAGAGGATTTATTAAATTAATGGTCGATTAAGGCTCATTATTCATTCCTCTAGTTTTGATGATAAACCTGATGAAAGTTTTACTTGTGTTGCCTTTCGATCCCAAGAGACTAAAGGCTGCATTAATGTTATCATCATGAAAACACAGGTGGTCTGTCTCATCATACCGCGGTTATGATAACCTAATTACAGCTCTGGTCACATGAGACCTGCTAATAGGACCGAAGAGGGTGAAATCCTGACAGCTCTCTGTTTTTGCTGCTCCCTTTCTCTTTTTCTAGCTCCATAACTTTGGTCCCAGTAGTATTGGGCAGGCTGAGCTTCAGATCGGCTGGCCTGCCCGTTTCCATGATGAGAACCTGCTGTACGCCATAGAGATTCAAACTGACGGCCCAATTAGCTGCCGGACAAACACCAGCCTCAACCCACACGGCCTGGAGGTACCGTATACATTTACACACACATGCATGCAGACACATGTTCCAAAACTAGTGAACTTATGGATATATTTCCTGTAATGGGAATTAATAAATAGACCTTAAGCTGCATCGCATTTGATTCCTTGATCTCCAAAAGGTAAATGTTGACCTGATGTCAAAGATGGGAGCTGTTTTATTCATCCCATAATCCTTCATTATAGACGTATCCTACTAAATATTTTAGATTAAGCCAATTTACGTGATTTTGATTAGTGGGGTAAAAATCCCAATGCAATGAATTTATTTTGTTTTAAAAGAAATTGTGATGCCACACTTCATGGATTCGCCATTGTAACCGATTGTAACTCAGAACATGTTAACAATGATTGCCAATCACTGTTGATTCCCCACATCTGCAAGATTTTTTTTAATGTAACTGCAGAAAAATATGTCTGAATGAGGAACACATATGTTGAGCAGGACGGGAAGAGTTTTTAAACAAAATGTAAAAACTTGCCCTTACAAACATGCAGGAAAGATTGACATCTAGGGGTCACCAAGGCTGTGTCCGAAATATAGAGTGGGGACTATATAGTGGACTTGATAGTGAACTCAGATAACTTACTGTTTGGATAGATGAATTCTACTTTTCACTCCCAATTGGTCACATAGCTCCGCCTCCATCGCGCGGTGCCTGCAACATCTTTATTAGTCACAGCTCTCGGGTAGCAACAGCCTATGGCGACAGCAGGCCGCTGTGACAGTAAATCCCATAATGCTTTGCGAGGAAAGCTCTCCGCTCATAGCATTCCGGGATATATCTGCATTGTGGGAAATTTCGAGTCCACTTCTTTTTTATCCACTAGACGTTCTGACACTCTTTTAAAATGTTGTAACCACTATATAGTGCCCTATATAGTGATGAGGGTGGATGTTCGGACACAGCCCAAGTCTTAATACCAGTAATTAGACACTCCTACATGCCAGACAGTTATTTTGGAGCCTTACCTTGAAATGAAAAGTTTCTCCTCTAAAAGAAAGTTTTCTACACTGTTAGGGCTTTATTAGCTGACATGATGTGCTTTGGTCAGATCAAGTTAATTTAGAATTTTTCAAAAAAGGGATTTAGTTTGACATAAAACAAAAGATGGACTTGTAGAATATCACTCAACCCAGCTAATAGGTATGGTGGGGAAATTGAGGCTGTGGACCTGTTTTGCTTTCAAATGCCAAAGGAATTAAATCTGAGAATTTAAATACAAGAAAACAGTGCAGCCTCTACATGCGCATAATGCCAAAATGTCATTTACCGAATATTAAAAAAACAAGATCCAATTAGATGGGCTGCACGGTTGGGCAGTGGGTAGCACTGTTGCCCTGCAGCGGAAATGTTCTGGGTTCGATTCCCGGCCTGGGGTATTTCTGCATGTTCTCCCTGAGCATACATGGGTTCTCTCTGGATACTCTGGCTTCCTCCCACAGCCCAAAAAAATGACTGTTAGGGTAACTGGCTTCTCTAATTTGTCCTTAGGTGTGGGTGTAGGTCGTCTAGACTGAGGAGATAGGCATCCTTTCCCATGATCTGTTTAATCCACAAACCTATATCAAATAGAATGGTTGGGCTGTGCTGAAGAGAGAAATACTAAGAAATTGTTCAAAGATCAAACACCTGTTTTATACCAATTATTAAAAAAAGAAAAAAAAGAAAAAGCTAAATCCCATTCACAAACTTATCTGGGGAGCCAAAAAAGTGTGGGGCAAACAACATCGTGTGTTGTGTTCCCATTGTGTTCTATTTTCCAGTGAAAGAAAAAAGGAGGAAGAAGGCTGGTGCTTACCTTAGATGTTGGAAATGTTTCCATATGCAATAAACCCATCTATAGGCTACTTTATAGAGAAAACATTGGTTTCTTTGTGTAAACTATTTAGATTAAAGAGGATTTTTTTTCTTCTAACAGACATTCCTATGATAAAGCTGCAAAATCTGTAATTGAATCAATGAGCCAAATATTGCAAAAAATTTCTTCATTTATCAGTAAGAAAAGTCTGAGGTTCTGTTTCTAACCACAGGGCTTCAAGAAAGGAAGAAAACAAATGGTCTCCCACTTCCAAAAATAGCTGATGTGAGAAGAAAAAAATAATCAATGTGTGCTCGGTGTGCTGGCTTTTTCAAATATTTAAATTAAAATATTAAATCAAGCTGTTCCCACTGGCCCGCCTCCAAAGCTGAGCTTCCCGAGCAGAAACAATAAAATCTATCTCTGTTATCTGAAACTTGAGGACATGTGGGTTATTTTCTCCGGCTGCCCTCCATGCTTTTCTTGCCATCAATATAACAATGTGACCTGAGAAGTTAAATCTCCTCAAATCCAACGTTTTAGATCAAATGTTACAAAGGTTTGTGCAGCTCTATATTCTGTGGGATTTTATCACATCTTTTGTATCTTTGGACATTTTATTTCGTTTTCAGCTGTTAATAAATTTATGTTATGTGCAGTTTTGGTGCTGATTAAATAAGCAATGTGTGGCGAAGCCCAAACTTCAGGAAGCCCAAACACATTATGACATTTAAACATTGTTTAAACAATAATTCTGTTCCAGATCTCCTCTCTGCAAGACACGCCAGAACTGCTGGGTTTTCTGAGGAACACCACCGATCTTCCTCACCGCCACAAACGATCTGTCAGCACAGCTGGAAGTTACAGCAGTAAGACCTTGGTGAGACCCCCAACCCCAATTCTCTCTTGAAAACAAGCTAATAAAAACATTTATATGTGATTCACAGTTGCTTCATGTCTTTCTTCTCACTGTCCACTGATCAGAACTGCACCAACGTCTCCTGTCTGAGGATTACGTGCATGGCTGGTCGGTTGGATCGAGGCCAGAGCGCCGTTGTTAAGATAAGATCAAGACTTTGGGCACATACGTTTTTGCAGGTGATAATTAATTACTTTATACATGTTATGTTACTTTTTGTGAGTTGTAAATATTTCAACCTGCATTAATTTATGTATTTCATCTTAAAGCGGCGTAACGACCCCTACATTCTAAACTCCACGGTGTCCTTTATGGTCATATCTATGCCCTATCGTGTTCAGCCATCCACACTGCCTCAACACAAAACCTCAGTAAGGAAAGAACTACATAGTATTGCTGTCGGTTCTCAGTTGCAAAAACAAATGATCAACTTTTGCATCTCTTTTTCTGCAGATGGGAACCCATGTGTTATGGGGCACTCCTGATGTTTCGTTTGCTGTGCCACTTTGGGTCATCATCCTGGCCATATTGCTAGGCCTGTTAGTACTGGCCATGCTGACGTTAGCGATGTGGAAGGTACAAGAGTGAAAATAGTTTTTACAGTAATATGCATCATTTATTATTCCATCCCTGATTTCTATAAACCTGCTTTCAAAACGTTGGAACATATATCTAGTCTTTCATCCATATTCCCCATTAGACATAAGACAACAATAAAAAAAAACAATGTAGATACAAAGGGAAAAAAACATTACTGAAAAAGAAGAGTCTCTGTTCAAAAGGACTATGAAGCAGACAAATTTATTTAATCCCATTCCTTTGCTGCACAAAACGAATTATTATCATATAATGCAACCAACAACATCCATTACAATGAATACCAATAGTGAAGAATATAAATTTTAGTACTATAATAGCAATGATAACACAATTCACTGGTTTATAAAAAATCACTTTATAATTCACAAGGTTTCCTTAAACTGTGGATGAAACGAGGTGATGAATACTAGGAGTAATTAGGCTGGTTTTTAACATGTGATTTTACATGATAGCATACTGTGCAGTTATGATGGGTGACAATTAACTAAAGCAAACATTTAAACTCCCCCCCATAGTTCAGTGGTTAGCGAGCCGGTGCCCAGTTTTAAGCCAACTCAGCCCATTCCCATACCTTTGCTCCTCATGAAAGAGGCTCATCCCCCACCAGGGCAATTAAAACAAAGGAAAGAAATGTTAAGAAAAGAAAATACCTTTCATTGCTGGTATGTGTGCACACCATAACAGCACTGCAAGATAAAACCAAATTACAAAATGAATTAAATATTGAAAGAAAGACATAAAAATGTTGATCCTACAGGCCCCGACAGGGTGCCTGAATATTTGTTCCGAATGTTGATCAAGATATTTTGCATGTTTCCCTAACCAGCGGATACCGGTACAAATGGATTTTTTTATGCAAGAGTACTGATCACATTACTGTATGTATTGGCATGACAATCATGAGTTGTTCAACTTAGCTCCTGGGGGAAATCCTTCTGGATGCTGTCAGAGTAGTTCTCAAAACCTCCTGCACACAGCAGCTGCATCACAATGATAAGTTAGAAGAAGCACCTTCAACCAGCTGTGGGATGATTCATATTAAAGCTGTGGTGTAAGGCCTTAGGTGACATGAGAGAACAATGCAGGTACCTGAAGGCTACAATTAATGACAAACAGCCTCTTAATCAGATCCCTCTTTGCAGCAACCAGCAAAATTTTGTAAAAGCCTTCCAAATTCTCTTTAAGTTATAAAAGCATTTTTCGTTAGAGATGCAAAGTTGTATCTGAAAAGCTTTTTAAATGCCTAAATAATTAATTGGTTAAAATTAAACTGAGTATGTTTAGATAATAGAATGAAACACAGCTTCACAGGGAAATGAATCATAATCTCTTAGGTCTGCTTGAATGAAAAATTCGGTGAGATTATATGTCAGCAAAGATGGATTGCACTGCATGCAAATACTGTAATTCACTTGACTAGTTGGATTTCGCTGCCTTTGATACAAAGATGGTGTAGAGTTCAATTAAAAAAAAAGCTTTAGTTTACAGAAAGGGGTTGGAAAATAAGAAAAGTGTATTGATCATAGTCAGATTGACCAATCTGAGTAATGGATTCAAAATGATTAAGCTTTCAATTAAATTCCAAGCAACCAAACTACAGAGAAAAACTTTGAAAGACTTTGATCCAGAATAACCAATAATTAAGATAACGTTTTTTAAAGTTCTTTACAATATTTTCAAGATGTCAGACAATATTTTTATTACCATGTTACATATTAACTTGTGAATGTGATTCCCGCAGTGCGGTTTCTTCGACCGAGCACGGCCGCCAGCAGATGACAACATCTCCGACCAGGAGAAGCTAACGTCTGATCAAACCGGGGATGCCTAAAGAAAATGAATTACAACACTTGGTTCGAAGTTTATGATTTAGGAGGAAAGTGCACCTTCTGAATGACAAAAATCAGATCTGAGATCTGGAATAGTTGGAAGCTCCATTCCCCTGATTTGGAAGACTTCTATCTTTTTTTTTTTTAAGAAACTGACTGCAAGAAAAAAACAGCAGCGCCACGCATTCTGGAGCCACAACAACTGAGGTCACGGCACGCAAAGTGGAGCAGAACAACACACATATCAGGCTAAATTACCCACACATGTCCATTGTTTATACATTGCAATGAAGCACCACAACTGAAGACCAAGTGGATTATATTGAAAGGACAATACTTAAAGTTTTTCTTGTCTTTGTGCAGCACAAAGAGAACTTAGATCTCAGCACAAGTGCTTTTAATAGGTTTTACAGTGAATGAGTGTATGTGTGTGTGTAAATTCCTGCAAATCTGTGTGCAAGAAGTGTATGTGTTTATAATCCACCACAGGATTTAATTTCTCCCTGTTTCCCCTCAAACAAGGCTGAAATCCATGCTGTTCAAATTTACATTCAGTAAACACGCTACCACACGCAAAGTTTTTAAAAAGGGGCACAAAGTCAAAGTGTATATTTATAAATGTATGTGCAATATTTGGGCGTTGTGTGATGCTGAAGCTTGTTGTTACACTGGCACTACTTTTTTAGAGCTTCATGTCTTCATTGTGTGTGTATATATACCGTAAGATTGGTTGGGTGGTGTGTTAGATAACTGTTATTTCAGAAGGCAACATATTTTTAGACAAGTACCAGCCTGTTGAAACCTTTACCAAATAAATAACTTATTGTCTCGTTGCAGCTCTGGGGTTTTATCTTTGAAGGAAAAAACAACATATTTATAGCTGAAGCATTGCATTGCTTGTTTAAGGTTTGCTAACAACTTTTTGTTTTACTTTTATTTTATTTTCCAAGGATAAGACTTGATAAGTGGGGGGAAAAACACATCTGCTGTTCTTTTACACAGCAGGTTACAGGTTTTTTCATGTTTCTAAATTTTCATGCACCAATCGTCAGAAATTAAGCATCAGCATTGCTGGAATCAAGATTTAAGGTTTATCATTTTAAGATATGCTTTATAGGATATGATTTAAGGTTTATGCATTAAATTTGATATTTTTTTTCATCAGTATAAAAGAATTATCAAAGCAGCAGAATTTTTAATAGGTCGCTAACCTTCACATAAAATGGGTCAGTAGTACAGTGTTTTATTAAATATGTAAAAAGGTTTACATCTTTTCAGTTTCCCATGATAAATTAAGTTTACTTTAGAGGAAGGACTGTTGCTCCCCCAAATGGTGCAACAAAAATAATGCAGCCTTGAATCCTGGCTCTGCATGAAAACAGATAAATAGACAAAAGCAAAGCAGCGCCACCCTGTGGCTTTAAGCTGTATAGATTTTAGTGCATTGAGTAACAAAGATTGAGGATAGAGCTTTCATTTCGTTTTTGCACTTTTTAAAATACTGATGGAAGTTTCTGTTTCAATATTTTTCTTTAGTTATTCATGTAGTAAAGAAATGTTTATTGGAAGCAAAGTTTTTACGAAATAATTCAAATTTATTTCTACATTTGCAGAACACAAACAATTACATGTAACACCTCATTTAACCCCTTTTTTAATTAACAACATTTGCTACGAAGCAGCAGCTGGAAACAAAACAAACCTGTTCCCTTGTTGAAGGAGAACATCTAATCAATCTTTCCAGGCTCTGTTGGGGTTTTTTATACATGGACATTTATCCACCTATTATATCCAATGCAATTTTCATTGTAACTACTGTATCTCTGGGTGTGATAAAAAGGATAGAAATAAAAGCTCTCTTTGTGTAACAAATAAAACACAAAGTGAAAAAAGCATTCAAATGCTGTCCATTTGCTGCATTACCCATAAAGGAGATTTAAGGTCATAGTCTGTTAATAAAAACATGAAAGGCTTTTATAAAGTACATTTCAAATGCATTGTCAGAGCATGAGTTGCTTCTTTCATTCTTTGCAAATGGCATCATTGTTTATTTGTTTAAAAAAATGCTCTAAATCCTAAATTCTTATCTGAAAACCGTAATTTATATAAGGCATTGGACAGAATGAATAAGGTTTTAAAATATCATCTGTTGCGCATTAGTGTTCATACTCTGGAGTGAAAAAAGGAAGATATGTACAACTGGATGGTAATATTTGTCCAATAATACTGGCTAAACATATTTTACAATTAGCAGTATAAAATAACAATGTAGGAGACAATGTTATAGTTATCCTGTAGCTTCCCAAAACCATATCACTTTCACCTTTTAGTGCTTTTATACTCATCAAATTTTGTGAAAAGTAATTTTTTTAAGTAATGCCACAGATCACTGCTTTAGCTGAGTCATCCTCTGCATGAATATGCTCTGCTCTGTATCATTACGTTGTAGATCTGGATGTGGGTTAAGGTTGTTGGGCTCAGATATTCTTTGAGGATTTTCTTGTATTTATCTGCAGTACTCTTCCCATGCACTTTGATTTAAGACCTTTAACACAGAGTTGGCAGCTTGATAGTATCACCATCAAGTTTTGCAGTGGGAAAGGTGAGCTCAGAGTGATATGCTGTGTTTTTTCCATTAAACATAGTATTAAGCATGTGTCAAAGGCTTTCTTCTTACCGGGCTTTTTTAAAGGTCTTAGTAGGAAAAGTCACCACTGATTCTTGCACCTCAGCAATGAAAACATGCAGCAAAAAAGAAAAATGTTTGCAACACTTTTCATATTATTTGTAAAAACAAAAACAAAAATGTATTTATCAAAAATTTTACTTACTCTTTAAAATTTATTTGCATTAAAATGGCATTAATGTTGATCTAATGGCACACAAAAAATGCAAATATCTAGTGGTAGAAATTCCTTGAGGCTCCTTTAAAATTTTAAAATGAATTATCATTGAGAAAACTTCAGGCTGCATTTTTCTTCATACTCTTTATTTCATTGAATATATGTGGGGGAAAAAAGTCAAATTAAACATTTTAAGGAGGAATTTAACAGCAAATCTCAACACCATCAAAATAAAGAAACATTATTGGTTCTTACTACATACTGTACTGATAGGACACACCGCATCTTACAAAGAGATTCATCCAAACACACTTCAACTACAAAAACATTTTTAAAGTCTTTGACTCCCGTTGCTTCCTGGGTTGTTTGAGCTGGTGCAAAAGAAAACATCTTAGATAAAAACACTTTGTGTTTTATTTAAATGAACAATGACTATTCAAATGATTTCAAAGGGTCTGTACAAGGGGATCAGAGTCTAGCAGGAATAAAAACAGACCGACATTATAACGGAAGACGTTTGGCTATTTACATTTTTTAACATGTCAAACAGGCAAACTGATGTTTCTCTTAGGTTTTCCATATAGCAAAGTGCAGTTTCAAAAAATCCCCACGATGTGGCACTTTTATTCCGTCCTTCACTTTGTACTGAAACACTGTAAAATTACTAATTTACTGGAGCCAACTTTGATGTGCTTGTGAATATAGATGGTTCCTAATTTATAATAAACCTGCTCTATGCTGGTGTTTGTTTTCAAGCCGTTTCACATTAATATGCACCACCTTAAATGATTTTTATCTGTTCCTTTTTTATATCCTTTTCCAATCTGAAGACTTTACAGCTGCTCACTTTCACTGGTCAGTTTTAAATCCCAGTAGATGTGAAGTTGTCAGCATCAGCTGGGGTCCTTTCATATTAGCCTGGAGAAAAAGTTGTTTTACTGAAAAGAAACTTAATTAGAAAACTTAAGCCAGCAAGCAATCTCTCAGCAAGTAAAAGCTCTGTAGCTTTCTTACTTTTTACACAGGGCTGTTTATATTTAACATTTCATAACAATTAACAGCGTATTAACTCGTGGACCTAAAACCTGCCCCTAGTGCAATGTATCAGAAGCTATAATAGAGGCATCCATTACTCCACAAATGTGGTCATGCACTGACAGAAAAACAAAAGTTGAGTCAGTTTTATTCTCTGGATAAAAAAATCCCATTCAAATTAATAAAAAAAAAAAAAAAATGCTTTCAAAGAACTCAGTAGTGAAGCAGTAATTGGGACCACTAGCTATACATATATGCAGATATCCTAGTTTTATACATCCCGGAATTCTCAGTTTTTAGGTTGATAACTGCATCCTGACCCTTTAGATCATAAATATATCATGATAAAATGCCCAAATGGGGAGGGAGCTGTATGTCTCTAATGTGAAACCAGTTAAAATATACAGTGTACACCTAAGGTCAAACTTTTTTTTATACCTCTGGTAGATTTTGATATGTTTTCCAAAAAGGCTTAATATGACTGAAGGAATCATTATCAGGTAGAGTTACTAAGGTAGGTTGTCCTGATAGAGTGTCTGTAATAAGTGACCTAATAATTAGAGCAATGGCAAGGAGGCGTTCCCAACCTCGAAGACTTGGAGCTCATTACCAAAGATAAATGTTCTTAATACCAATGGAAATATATAAATTATCCAGCTGACAAGAATATAAAAAGGGTTTGAATACTGTGAGACCAATAAAGATTTCTACACTGATTACTGACAATCGGCCAATATATTTCAACATGCCATATTTGCCTTTAAAATGAAGCATTCTTTACTTTTTTCAAAATTTGCAGGCCTACTCCTTGCACATCATTTTACAATCTTTTTAAAAGATTCCATTCTCTAATAGAATGTAGAATTGAATAAACATTTTTAGATCTAAATCTATTAGGGATAACATTTTTTTGTTGTTGGTTTTTTTTTTTTTACCATATATATACTCTGATGCGTACAAAATGTATCACAGACAGTAACATAGTTAGGAAAACTGCAATGTGATTTGTTCTTGACGGCTCATGTTTATATAATCTTCAAACTTTATTTATCAATCTATTTGGAACATATCACAATAAAAATTAAACCACAATGAAAAGAAGAATGTCCAAAAACTAAATTACTTCATTTTTCAAAACAAAAAGAAAAAAAAATACAAACATCTGTAATCAATTTCTAAAGATTTGTATTACAGTTTATTTCAGCTGACAGAATAAAGCATGGATTTGTTTGCTGGCAGAAAACTTCCAGTAACAGCAGACGATGTAAAAAGGTCAACATAGCATCTTGATCCAAAACTCAAGGCCAATGCCTGAGGTTTGATTTGAAATGCAGATGGTAAAAAAGTGTAAAGAAAACTGTCTAATCATAAGAAAGGCTGGATTTCCTTTATAAAACATAAGGTCGGTCATGGAGAGTTTACTGGCTATGTTCAAACCTTATTATTAGTGCAAGTAAGAAATGTCTTGACTTTTTTATAATAAATACAAAAAAAAACTTGATTTACCATAGATAAAAAGTTTTCTGTCAGTATTTACTTTCAGCTCTAATGATGTTAAATTATGAAACGTTCTTTGCTGCAAACATTTATGCAGGGACTTAAGTTTTCTAGCTTCTGTTTGTAAAATCCATGACTCAGATTTTCTAAAATAGCAACATGTTTAGTTTTTACATGACTTTGAAGGAATTTAATAAAAATTGCAAATAAATTAACCAAATGACATTGAATGTGACATAGAGATAAAGCAGTCATTTTTTTTTTACCTTACAGGTTTTCTGCTACGGACAAAATAATTATTTGAATGTATTTTAAACTGATTATAATTGATCTTTATTAATGCATGAATCATTTGTAACAAACATAATTTATATCATGGTATTTCTTTTAATAAAATTTATTTTTCATCATGTGTGGTTTAGCTGGTTAAATTCATTTCATTTGTAGTCAGTGAGCCAATTTCAATGTTTTGTCTCACAGAATATATATTGGCTTGTGCTTTTCATTTCCTTGTATTGTTTTTCCTGCAGTTGTTTGTTGCAAATGAAACTATATATTCTTCAGATTCTAAAATCATAGATCCAGAAAAAAAAGTGAGGAAATTTTAAAAAGGGGCCATCAGCATTTCAATTCCAGAGTCACAGGTTTATGGAAAACACAAAACAACAACTTATTTTTGATGCTACATCTCACTTATTTCACATCAGCCCATAAATGTGTCCCTAGAATTTTCATTTAGAAATAAACACCAGGTCTAATGTATTGGTCCTTATCATAACGGGTCCGCTCTGTATCTAAAAAACAATTACGTTTTGAAAACTACATAGGTGAGCCATGTGAGGAAGATAAAATAGCTATTAAGACAAACAGTAGTTCCTTTTTGTAACAGTGAAGGATATAACACCACATAGTTACAGGAGAACAGTCAGAGGGCAGTGTTGTTTTTTTTAATATATATATATATATATATATATATATATATATATAGCCTGAGCAGTCACACACAAACAGAACAGTCTGATTTCTGGGTATACAATAAACCCCTCCCATAGGAGTTAAATGGCTATTAGGATAAAACTGCAATCCATTTTTCACACCAACTAAACTCTGAGGAGGCCCACCGTAGTGTTGTTCCCACATTCATGAACATTTGATCAATACCAGAGTTGAAACAAACAAGAGCAGAAGTTGTAGGTATCAGTGAGTCAATGGAATGATTGAAGAAGGAGGCGTTGTGGCACATACAGTACATTAAAAGGTTAGATTACACTCTGTACACTCTCTAAGATACAATTTCACTGTACATGACTAGCTTGCTCTATAGCATCTCTGCCTTTCGCTTAATAGTAGCTCTATAAATCCTCAGAAAAATAAAGTTTGTTTCATGTCTGTTTACATTCTATATTGGTTTCTCTCTGTGATAAACCTGCAAAACAGTGATAAGAAACAGTCTCATATCATTATATCTAAAAACTGTGAGAGAGGTTCACCATTGCCATCAAGTTCCAACTGCATGTTCCATCAAAGTGCTGCTTTTCAACACACATAAACATCGATCCACACACATACACGTGACTGATGACATGGAAATACTATCTCAGGCCTTCACTTACACACACACATACATAGCTCAAATACAATCTGTTAACTACGTCCCCTTCCTGAGTATGAATGTAGTATGAATCTTTTTTTTTCTTCTAAAATGGAAACAAGGAAAGTTTGGTGTTTAGATCACAACGCCATTGCTCTAGCATATATCAGGTGTCGACCTGAGAAAGGCAAATTGATGTTAAAATCTCAATGTAAAACCCACTGTACTGCTGTAAACTTCATGCATGCTAAATATCAAAGCCTTGGTGTTTGTTAAAGAGGTACCAATGAGATTAGTCGCCCAAAATGCTGAAATCTTTGTCTTTTTTTAGGTAGCACACACTGCTTTTCTTTGATGTCATTTTTTGGTTAGAACAAACTATAGCAGCAGCATCTTTTTCTCCAGTTAAAATCACCAAATGAAGTACATTTTAACCTTTTTAGAGCTTAATAGAGACAGCAACTGAACCCATTAAAGAAATGTCCTCAATTCACTTAATACAATATTTATCTTTCTATGAAGTTTCCACATGATATGGAAATTAGGAAATAAGCAGTCCAATTAATATTTACCTTGACCACTATTTGGAGTTTCAAGCTGAATTTCATTAGCAGATAAATGGATATAAATATTAACATCATTTCTCATTTTATCATTACAAGATTTGCGTTATTAGCCAAACGTTTTTTTTTTTGCAATTTTTTGCACTGCTCATATTATTTGCTAACTTGATCTAATATAACTTATACTAACCTCTGCTATTAAAAAGTTTGCCACTGTGACTAAATGAATAACACATTAAATGCTGTAAAATTGTTTTAGACTTGTGGTCCATCCGGGTGCAAACCCAACTAGCAAAATGTCAGCTTGTTTAAAGGCTTATTTTTTGTTGCCCGATTTCTGACCCACTGATTGCCTTACTCTTGCAGCAACGACTTTTGCCAGTTTTACACCTACCTTTACTAAAATTCTGCAGCGCTTTGAATATTAATGCTTTATTTTATTTTGTAGGCAGCAGTCAGATTTTTTTCTAGCTTCTTTTCAAAAAAACAAAACAAAAACAAACTTATAAAAACTAGCTAATCACAGAAATATCTAAAATTGGAACATGGTTATGCTTAGTACACCTTTATTACCAGATTTGAGTTCTGACTTCTGAGGCATATGGGCTGCAGTATAATCCTGGTTTATGTAAACAGGAGGCAAAGACACAAGCAAGACCTTTTTTCAAATACAATTTTTTTTCAGAACAGGTATCTATAGAATATGCTATATTTGCAGGTGTTTTATTTATAAGGTGTAAAATTTCTATTTATTTAAAGTGCTAAATCCCTGCTCAACTATAACAAAGATTGGTGGTCAGTATTGATTACATTTTCCTCAGTTTTAAAGCCAAAGATGGCTTGATGTTATTATTTCAAGTGTTTAAGTAGGGATATGACTGTTCCATTATTTCTTCAAGGTCAAAATGGTTGTTCTTAGGTTATTTTATAACATCAGCCATTTTTTTATGATACAAATTGCCCTAGACTATTATAATAAAAGTGAGCTGAATTATATGAATGCTGAGCTAAGGCTCTCCAGTGCAACATAAAGTTGTTCTATAATGGTTAAGAGTCATGGGACATTACTTTCAAACAGTTCATCTATCCATGATAATAAACATAATGCCATAGGAGCGGTGTGAAGAAACCAGACCCCACAATATATTGTACTTCAGGGCTGCTTTAGTCTACTTTTTTATCGTTTTAATTTATTTAGTTGTATCAAAACATAAACACACTGGTAGAGATGCATTGGACTGCAGAATAGCCCATTGTAAGCAGTTGTATGTGCTCAGGAAACATTTAGTCAAGTTAGTAAGCCATATTTCATATCCCTGTAAAATGTTCATATAGCTGTAACTGAACTCATTTATTGGTATTTAGTGGAAATACTGTAGGGATGTATCTACATATAACTGTTAAAACCAGCCTGTTGCGATAGTATTGCATCACACTCAGAGCGATATTCTCATTTTACAAATCGGGTTGTAACAAACAGCACATGCATGACTTGGTGAGTCACTATTTAGGGGATTACATTCAAGCCTTCTTAGTCATGAATTTCACAACTTGAACAATTTTGCAGCTAACAGTATCATCTCACATCCTGTGCTCCATTTGACAGCAAGAACAAAACAAGCATACATGTGAACAGGCAAACACACAATCATATAGAGGAATAAGGCCACCCGCTATCATGATGGTGTGAAAATTATAGATGAAAATACAAATCTCGATTCAGACTGAGACAAAAACCATTGTCATTAAAACACCAAACATCTCTTACTCGACCTTCCACTTATGCCTCAACACACCCCTTTAAACACAACGTCCTGTGCTTTATTATTTTGTAAGAAAACTCATTTCGGTCCCGCATTATTCCGTCCTACAACAGACGTTCCCCGTTCATGATCAACATTTCATTTGCATTCATTGTTGCTTTCAGCAGAAATTGCACTCATCTTGCGTCTTACCACATCAAGGTGCTCTACTTTACTTCTTCCTTGTTTGAAAGAAAACATGTAAATCCTGTAAAAAACTCTATATTACAGTAGTCAGGATTGAGTGAAAAAAGAGAGGCTGGACACAAAGCAAATAACGGGTACTTCAAAGTTCTCCTAACAGTCAACTCTTTTCTTCAAACATCTTTCACTCCCAGCACTCGAGTGGCCCTCTATGCTGATTTTCACCTCATGTGGTAAAAAAGAGGGCTTAGGCAGAGTCACAGGAGGTTCCTCTTCAGCTTTCTCAGTCTGGTCTCGCTCCGGAGCCGACCAGCGTCTCTTGCGAACAAAAGGTCTCTCTGGATCATTGCACTGTGGTTTAGAGAGTGCGGATATGTCTGTTTTTATTGAATCTTGTCTTATTTCTCTCCTCCCAGAACCTGCCACCACTGATGCACCTTTGTACATCCCCTCCACCCTTTCTGGAGATGGTACCAGCCGAATAGTTTCTCCATCTCCAGATCCAGAAATGTTCAGTCTCTCCACCCTGTTGGCAGTGGAAGCCTTCATGAGGAGAGTACCATTACTGCCCGGAGGGTTGGGATTTATAGTGTCTGTCATATTGGGATCAATGCAGTGGGGTGGGTCAGAGAGTGAACCCATTTTCAGCTTGGTTCCCAAAGCCTGACAGTCTGTCAGGGAGCCATTCCTTAAACTGCGTAGGGTCAAGGACACACAGACGTCACCGACGCAAAGCTTGGCACATGACAACTCAAACAGTTGTGTGGTTCTGTCAGGACAGCAAGATGACCAGCCCTGGCCGAAAACAAAGAACGGATACTCCACCAGCACCTCGACACACACCTAGACAGGAGTATAAACACAAGGGAAACAGTTAACCTTTTTCTAAGAGCACACAGCAAAACACACATTGTGAAAATCTGTTTTTAATCTTGTCTGACATGCTTAAATCTTTCTGATATGAAATTACACACATTTCTGTATAATGTTTATATATATCCCAAATAGATAACTTGTTAATGACTTACCTGGGCTTTGAGCTCCCCTACTGAAAACTGAATGAGCACTGCATTGGGACTTTGACCACTGTCTATGCGCTCCACAGTGCTGGAGTCTATCTTTAGTTCACTGCTGATCTCAGCGCTCTGAATAAAGTCTTCTGTCTTGAGGTCCTCTACACGCTTTAATTCCCCATCAGCTAGCTGGATGATAGATCCTCGCATAAAGAATGGTGGAAGAGCCACGGGAGAAGATGGGGAAGAGATGGAGGGGGAGGCTTGGATTGAAGCCGGGGAAGGAGTAGGAACAGAAGTGGGAGTTTGGGAAGGAGCTGCAACCACTGTGGCGACTGGGTTTGTGGGCAGTGATGGTAAGGCTGTGGCCTGTGGTTTGACAGTAGGGGGTTGATTTACGTCTGGGCCAAGAGCTTCACATTTGGACAAAGCTGTTGCCAAGTAGGCATGTGGCATGGCAGTGGATATTTGAGGGGTAGTAGTGGCAGTAAGAGCACTGACAGTGCGACTGACCTCTATTTCTGTGCCATTGTTGGCACTGCTGACTGGTATGAGGAGGGACTGGCCACTTGGGATGACCAGGTGCTGAGGCAGTGCTGCATGGTAACTAACAGTGTGCTGGTTTGCACTGGTAATGTAGCCAATGATAGGAGGCTGGGTGGACGAGTAGAGACTGGCTGGCAGTTCCTCGGCAGGCAGACTGGTCTGAATGACAGCATGAGGAGCAACAGACTTGACCACCTCTGAGGAAGAAAGTGAAGTGAAAGAAGAGGCCCTGGATACAGGCTTCCCAAAACAGATGCTTCCTTTCTCTGTTTGGACCAAGGAAATTTTATTTGAGCCAGCTTCATGTTCCACTCCATGGTTTGGCTGGGCAACAAGCACCAAGGAGGTCTGCAAACCTGTAGGGTTTTGGCCATAGTCAGCAGGTAGGAGGATATGCCTGGCCTCATAGCTCTGTATGGGCTGATGGTTGGCTCCTGAAACTTTGGCTTGTTTGACTACTTCCACTTCTCCATTCAGTACACCCTTAACATGGCCTTCTGGTTTCTTTGAAGCTGAACCATCTGCATACTGAACCAGAAGCTGCGATGGGGCAAGTGTAAGAGTTGGTGGGAGGACAGCTGCATGAGGGTGTAGCTGAAGGTGACCTGTAGATGATGCTACAGCATTTCCGCTTACAGTCAATGGTGCTCTGCTGTCCAGATGGATGTACTGATTAGTTACTTGGGGGGAACCTGGAAGTGTAACTGGAGCCAATTCTGTAGGAGAGAGTCCAATTTGAAACTGCTGTTCTCCTTTGGTGTTGGGAGATATTAGGGCAGTGGTGTAGCCATCTATCTGGGTGCGCTGTCCTACTAATGCAGAGCTGTTAGGGGCAGAACTAGCATTAGCTGGAATGATATGGGAGGAAATATAGCCAGCATAGGGCCCAGAGCTGATGAATTGCACGTTTGGTCCCAGTTGAGCAAACTGGATTGTCCCAGGCTGTTGGGGAAGGGTAGCTGGATAAACTGCTGGCAGAGAGGCCAGGGGCACAGCCGAAATGGGAGTTGCTGGGGAGGGGATAGACGTGGTAGGAGAAGAAGAAGAAGTTGAGGGAACAGGACATCTTGGACTTTCTGTTTCTCTGGACTTGCAGCGTTCACTGGCCACACTTGCAAGCCATGCTAAGTTTTCTGTGTGGGTACTATCAGTCGGCACCACAGCAGGAGGAGTAGCAGCGGCTACTACTACTGGCCTCTGCTCCATTGCCAGGATCTCACGTTTCTTGGGAGGCAGACATCCATTACTCCGCTCTTGATTGGCTTTCATTGTGCCCAACAAGTCTTAATGTTCCTATGTACTAAGGTCTTTCCCTATGAGAATATTTTCTCAGTGGTATTTTTCTGGGGCTTCCAAGAGTTCTCTGTGGCTCTGACTCTTTATGTTGTTACAAATGGACAACTTCAGCTGCCACACCAAAGAAGATGAAGTCCCTCCAGTTCTGAAAATGTGTTCCGCAAACTTCATGAGGAATCATCTTTGATCAATCTGCCTCTTCCACGGTCTCGAAAAAAATCTGAAAACAGAGTAAACTTAATTATTACATTATGTATTTCTAGAACTACTTCTTACATTATTATCTATTAATAATATCCTAAATGTTAAAATGCACAGCATGCCTGTTATAGAAACAAAGTTGTTTGTAAAAATATCTTAAAATTCATCAAGTCTGAAAATCGATCACAAAAAAAAAGGCTTCTACCCTGGGGGTTAGTTCATCTCTCTATACCGCTAGGTAACACCAAGCATCGAGACATTTGACAGTATTTTTTTCATGCACAAGAATACAAGTTTTGAATGTACCCCCTAGGAGGGGTTCAACATTAGTGGACTCTGAAGATAAAAACAGCCAAAAATCAAACAAGAACAACTAATAGGTATTCTTTTTCCTGTCATTCATTGTGAAATTACACTAAACAATGAATGAGCACCTCTATATTTCAATCAATGACAGGAATAGAGAAGACTGGTATACATGTAAAGCAAAATAATCCCATAGCACACCTGGTTTAAACATAGCTCAAAATTCTTGTATATTGATTTTAAAAAACAACATAATATCATAACTAGGGCTGCAAATAACGGTTATTTTGCAATTCGATTAATTTTTTTTCGATTAATCGATTAATAATCGGATAGCCAAAGGTTCCTTAAAGAAGACTTTTTCCAAAATTAAACAAGGTGAAACTAAAACTTTTCCAATTGAGGAGTTCTGGATAGAGCATGTTGACAGACGAAAATATTTTTTCTATTAAATGCAAAATATTTATATATATTTTTTTACAATTTTGATATGATTACTGCTCTAACTGTGTTGCTCTGTCAGTTAAAGGCATGTTTTATTGTCTCTATACTCCACTTTATGGTTAATCGATTACTGAATTAGTTAGACGATTATTTCAGTAATCGATTAATCATGCTTAATCGTATTAAATGTTTCAGCCCTAATCGTAACGGTAGTAGATAAACTCTCTTGATGTCTTGTCTAGTATAGATCTAGATTAGTAGTTCCCAGAGGCTTAAGCTTTCAGCTACTAAAAGAGGGACTAAGACCAAAGCACATCTTAAAACAATCCTGCTCTGGAAAACATCACAGTGGTGTATTGCAACTGCAATCTGAAAAACATTTTAACAGTTGTTATATTTGCATTAGGCAGTTTTTTAGTAGTTGCTGTTCTGTCATATAGACTTATCCGTGCATCAGTGCTCTGAACTCATAGTTGTTCATTAGCCAGAGGCTTCACTTAAAATAGACTATACATATATGGCATGCAAATAGGTGTTCATTTTTTTCCTGTGCATTGCATTTAGAGCAGCTCCAGTTTACCTTTTGACTAAGCTGGTGTGCTCTTTTTTATGTCAGTGGTTCACTACAGAAGGCAACCACAGACATGTTACATAAAAACAGAGGGTGGGGAGGAGGAAAAAAGAAAAGGGTAGGTGATTTTGATCATCTTTTATATGAAAGCATCCAGCTCTAATGATGGTTTTGACAAGGTCACTGCATAGACATGCAGCGAGAACCTCTGTTCAGTTTACAGCAGGAAAGATTGTGCAAATGCAACAAAGGAGGGAAGCAGAAGAGATTGAGAGAACAGCAACAGAAGGAAGAGAGGGAAGGGAAAAGAAAGAAAGGGTGTGCAAGACCCAGAACTCTGCGGAACGGGGAAAAAAAGAGGGAAAGAAAGGTGACAAGGAACGGGGAGGACATGGAGAAGACAAGAGTTCCTGCTTTTCCCTGACCCACATTGAGCAGCGCCTGCAGCATCAGAGCGCCATTGCCCCCCCATCCTCGCCGAGAGATCCCCTGATCAGCAACGCAGCCGCCAATACAGTCTGAGCTTACGCTGCTCTGCTCTTTGGCAACAACCCCACCTCAGCAACACCGTGTCAACACTGTAATGACATCACATCTGAGGCACTGGCATCTCCTGTCTTCAAAGCAGTATTGGCAGACAAAGCCAACTAACACACCAACAGTTTGAACAGCCCGAACGGCACACACAAAGCTCAGCAGCCAAAAAGCCTCTCCAGATTTTCCTGTGTCAGCCTATAATTAGAGCAGCGGCACCAGCACACGTAAAGCTTCCATGTTACTATGGAGAACAAAGGCGAGCCTTCAAGACTGTGAGCCACGCAGCATGGGAACCTTGACTCAGGACTGACACCTCTGAGACATGCACACAGAGGGATGACAACACAGTGTATTGAAGTGGAGAGGACAGGACGTGCTCTGTTCAGCTCATCAATCAGATAGAGAGGGATGGATCACCCCCCACGGCACCCCACCCCAGTGTGTGTTCCATTTTTTCCACATCAGAAAGCTACAGAAACCTCAGAGACTGGTTTGTGCAGCTAAACCCTCTGCCCAGGTGAGAGGCTTCCTAGCAGGGTTGTATCTCCTCGCTCATGCTGCAGTTGCCAGCTCCTCCGATACCACCCACCCCCACCTCTTTCTTCTGTGCCACAGCCATGAGTGTTTACACCTTAAATTGATCAGTTGCTTTATTGCAATAACATTTCCCTGCAGGATGCATCAGGCAGTGGTGCAAAGAGAAAGGAAACCAATTCTTTTTTTTTTCTTGAAAGTGTGCTGAGATGTCACAAATGTGGAAAATGAACCCTAATGTCCCTGATGGGGGCATACCACCTATGCAATATTTGCCACCAGTCATAGAAACAGAGTGATTACCCTGTCCAGAGAAAGGCTATATATAGAAAACAAAAACATCATTATCAATCTGAGCTCCGGCATGAAACAGAGAGGGGAGGTACTGTGCAGCACAATATGTACAGGCATTTAACAGTGAATTGCTGCATATACACAAGACGTCACCTTAACTAGAGTACAAACAAATCTGCTCTCAGTGCCACAGAGTAGATCTATGCTCTGTAAGGCTTTCCTTTCCTATTTTTTCAAAGAGACATCTCCATGTCTGTCTTTGCAACAGCACTGCCTGTACCTTTAAGAGGCGGACCGTCCGTGTGGCAGCAGACAGTAAGAATAGGCAGAGGGGTTCAGGCTGTTTTGTCTTCACAATGACTCCAGAGTTCTGCATCAGTCCTTGGCACACTCCTAATCGCATCGCCCAACCAGCAAGAGATGTGTACACAGATGCGCACACATACAGGCAGGCAGCAAACAGGGTCAGATCCTGCAGCAGGGACTTTGGACTGATCAGAGGACAGATGCTGGGACTCCGGTCTCTAGGGGCTTAAGAGTGAGGGCGCATGAGTGGAGTAGCAGGGCAGAATTACTACTATGCCACAAATCAGGAAGAAAAGACCCCCCCCCCCTTCTCTTCCTCCTCCCCCCCTCCCTGAGTAATAGTACTAAGAATAGCTCACCAGTCTGTCCACAGCCACTGCCTGCAGATCATGTCCAAGGATTCTTCCAGTCAGTGTCAGTCTGCGTCTACGTCTCCTAGGATTCTTCTTCCTGATTCTGTCCTTTGTGCAGCTCTCTGGTGGAGATCTCTAAATTTTGGCTTATGGGCTGTTGCGCCTCTTGCAACAAGGGCTGTTGGTAAAGGAAGTTCGTCAGTGCTGCAGACCCCACCAAGACCAGCGTGAAAGGCTGCTCCAGCAAGTGTTATGCAAGGCCACCACTCCGCCAGCTCCGTCTCTCCTTCTCTCTGCCTGGTTGCTTTTCTGTCTCCTGCTCTCTGTAAGTGAGTGAGTGTTTCTGCCTCCCTTCCTTTCCCTCTCCAACCCCCCCTCCCTTGCTCCCTCCCTCCTCCTGTTTCTCTCTCTCAGTACTCTACTGACACAGCTCCTCCCCCAGCCAGCCTCATCAGCCGCATCAGGTATTCATTCAAAAAAACACACTCCACTTGGCTCTGCGCCCAGGCTACGCTCACACTGAGAGGGTAGGGGCGGAGGGAGCCACAGACAGAGGGAGAGGATGGAGAGAGTAAGAGCTAGAGACTGAGAAGCTTTGCTCAGACAGATGAATGTGAGCTACTGTGGGAGATTCACATTGACATGTGCAGGCCCAGACAGTATGTGTGCATATGCAAACCAACACAGGATTAAAATGCTCTGAGTGCAATGCTTTTTCATGTGTCTTTTAGTACATATTTATTCCCCATCGAGACAAATCCCCATCTTATCTTTCATGTCTCCACTGTGCAGTACCAACGCTTGTCCTTAATAACCCATCTTCTCTCTTTCAGCAACAGGAAACATTCTGCCAAAAGTGTTTCCTTCAGTCAAAACAGAGACCCCCACTCCCTTGTTTATCCAAGTTAGCCGACGATGAAATTGACAACCATCTGGTAGTCCTGAAAAAGAATACAGACAGAAGAAGCAAATCCATTGAGTTGCATAAAACTGGTCTAACCTTTTGATTTTTCATGGTTGTTCAGATGGTGTGTCTCTGGCGACGATCACAGGGCAACACACCAGGTAGTGGACACCACTCTTCAAAAATATGGAAAATAAATTAATAAGCTACATCAGTGAAATCAAACAGAAGTCCTTAAGCATCGGGTTCCTGCAACATTTGGATTTGTTTCTGCTTTAAAATGCAAAAAAAAAAAAAAAAACTCAGGACACTGTGATTAGGGCTCCAATCAGCAAGGGAACTACATTGCCTTCACCTTCAGCTCTGTCTCTCTAGCCCTCCCCTGAGCACTGAGAATCTGGCTATGTTTGTTTTCTTCATTTACTTTACCCTGCTGTGAGATAATTGTGTGGTGGATCTGGGTCTTGATTGCATTGGTGCTCAAAGCCTGCTTTACCTTTGCCATGATAGTGCCTCTTTGCTTTACCTAAAGCTGGGCATACACTGTATGAATTTTTTGCCTTTTTCGGGCCGATTCTCTGATCATGCGAGAATGTTTAGATCGGGCTGAGTTTCAGCTTCATTGTGTGTCGTGCGTCTTTTAGTATACAGGGGGTTATGAGGGGCGATCAGACTCTCACGACCAGCTCCCGATCAGGAAACGTAAGGTCGGGAGAAAATCAAACATGTTTGAAATTCAGTCGGCCATCGTAAGATCGCATCACAGCGTCGGGCCGCACAGTGTGAGAACACGCATCGTGAGCTTTGAACTTTAAAACCCTGCAGTTTCATCGTATAGTTTGAGCTGTAGATGAGTGTAATGATTGAAAATATTGCAGTGTATGCCTGGCTTAAGACCTGCTTTCCCTAGCTATTGGTAGGATTTGGTCATATCAGCCCCATCGAGTTGTGTTGGGGAAGCCTATGGGTAGGTTTGTCTTCCCATGTTGGTTCCTCCAGCATCTTTTCTTCCTGTTTACATTTTGTGAGTCACATTTACTTGCATGCAAAAGAACACCAATGCTTGTAATGGACAAGTGATACGAGTCAGAACCACAACTTCCATGTTCAGAACAACAACTTCCATGTTGGGGTATTAGGTTATGGCTGTCTTTTGATGCAGTCTGTCCCTCTGACATCACATCCTCAGGCAACATTAAAACCAGAAAAGAAAAGAGTGGGATAGAATTTTCAATGAAGACCTTTCCCCAGTAATGTTAAATTCATTCAATTTTACGCCGCAATACACCATCACCCCTCGGTCTTGGAAAGAGGCAGTAATCTCTGTTATTGGAAAAGAAGGTAAAAATAAGACACTTTGTGAGTCTTATTGCCCAGTCTCTATTATAATGTTCACTATAAATGATTTACCTCCATTCTATCCAAAAGACTTGGACACCTTTTACCTGAGTTGATAGACGATGACCAATCAGGTTTCATCATGGGAAGACAAACACAAGATAATATAAGGCGAACTCTTCATATTATTGACCAAATAAACAGACAGCAATTATCAGCAATTTTGATTTGTTTGGATGCAGAAAAAGCATTTGATAGAGTATCATGGCCATTTATATATAAAGTATTAGAGAGAATGCGTTTTAATGAAATAATCATAAGATGTATTCAGTCACTGTATAAAGAGCCCACTGCAAGAATTAAAAATAACAGCCACATTGGGGGAAGCTTCAATCTGTTTATAAGCACACACCAGGTTTGCTGCCTCAGCCCCTTACTATTTGCCATTTACATAGAACCCCTAGCACAATTCATAAGGCAAATCAAGCAACTGAAGGAAGTGAACATTGCAGGAGAAGACCATATAATTGGACTATTCACTAATGACTTAATTGTATATTTATAGAATCCTAATGTAAAGCTTCCAACATTGTTTTAAAACTCGAGGACTACGGGAGGATGTCAGGATAAAAAATTAATATCTCAAAAACACAGCTACTACCACTAAACTACATTCCGAGTAAGGAAATTAGACAAAGGTACACACTTAAATGGGAAAATATATCAATTAAATACTTGGGAGCCACACTTATGCAAAACTCGGGCAAAATTCAGGAAACTAATTATTCCACAATTAACAATTCGATACAAAGAGATTTCTTGATATGGTCAATATTAGAATTGGATTTTTGGTCAAGAATAGAAATAATTGAGATGAATATACTGCCTAGGCTACTATATCTCTTTCTATCATTACCATTTAAGATTCCAGAAGCCCAGTTTAAAATGTGGAACAAACAAATATCCAGATTTATCTGTGGAGGTTAAAAGAACCAAGAGTGACATTTAAGACACTTCAACTAGATAAAAGAAATGGTGGCTTAGTGCTCCCTAGCTTTAAAGAATGTTATTATGCTGCACAACTAAGGTACGTAATCAATTGGTGTTCTCCTGGGTACGAAGCCAATTGGAAATGAATAGAATTAAACGTACCCAAGTACAACTACAAGCCAGGCTTGGGGAAAAAGAAAGAATAAGCAAAATTACAGAAAACACCATTTTAGAAGAAACTTTAAAATATCAGATAATCAGATAGCACATTTATAGAACGGGGATAAGAGCTATCTGCACACTAGTAGTAGGAAGAACATTTAAAACATCGGATAAAATCGGAAGAGAATTTGAAATGGATAACAGAGATTTTTTCAGATACCTACAGCTAAGACACTTCTATAATAATGAGGTTGAGAAAGAATTATCACAGAAAGGAAATAAATTGATTCAATTATTTTTGGACGCATACACGAAAACTACAACTACAATTGTTTCTAAGTTATATAAAAGCCTACAAAAACGAAACGGAAATAGCTCACTATATATTAAGCAGAATTAAAAGTGAAACTGCCAAAGAGTGACTGGCTTTCAATGTGCCAAACACAACAGTCCTACACAAGCTCTAGATGCTGGAGGGAATTTGGCTGCAAAATTTGATACGCTACTTTATTACACCTCAATTACAAAACAAATTACTCCATACTCAGCTAAAATGTTGGAGGCCATGTGGACAGATGAATGGAAGTCACTCTCATAGCAAAGGCGTAGCCAGAACATTTTTATAAGGGTGGCCAGGCAACAACCAATGTACACTGAGGGGAGGCTGATAGTGGATAGACGCCAGAACCTCAGGGTTATTGTATTTTATATACTATATCCGTTTGTTGTGCTGTTCCTTTTACATCTCTCCTTGCAGGTCATGAAGCAGACTGAAGACTTTTTATCATTGTCTCCCTTTTATCTCCTCTTTCTGTCATCTTTTCTCCTTTTTCCTGTTTTTCCTTTCCTGTTCTACTTATATTGCAGGGTCCATATAACCTGTAATACTTCATAATCATAATAAAGCTATCTACATGCATAAATCAGGCGGAACACTATGGCGATAGCCGTACTGCTCCACTTGTAAAAGCAAAATCTGTTGGGCTCTTTTTGATGACTTGCTAGATGACTTGCAGAGACAATTTTATTTTTTATCATTTTACACCATATAACACAAAATGTAGTTCTGAAAAGAGCATGATTTCTGTTCTTTTAATCTTTAATGTTAGTATATTGATCTGCATATTTAACCACAAAAAATTAAAATGTTTTGAATATTCCAATTGAGAGTATTACTGCTGCCACCATCTGTATTAGAGGGAATAAAATGGTAGGGGTGGGCAAAGGGGTGGCCAATGATTGGCTATGGGTGGTCATGGCCACCCCTGGCCCCCCATCTAGCTCTGCCCCTGTCTCATATATTTTGGCAATGTACAAAAATAAAAACCTACTTGGATCAAGCTGTTCAGACTATAGAAGGACTAATAGGATACAAGATACCCAAGGACCAACCGATTGTGTACTTGGGCAGGCTGGAGAATGAAGAGATACACAGGAAAGACATCTATCTCCTCAAAATCTTGATAGTGGCAGCAGAAAAGGCGGTTACCAGAAAACAATGGATCAATAGTAGAGGAAATATTCACAATGGAGAAAATGGCCTACCACCTAACGATCAAGTCCAAATAAATAAAAGCAATATTGGAGAAAGTGGCTTGATTACACAAACCGGAAAGAACTTATCCTCAATAAGACTTGAACGCCAGACAAATCTATATAAGAAGACCTGTGTGACCCCCACCTCCCCTAAACATTGACTCTGTTATACCTTTGTTGTATTTTTGTTGCCCTTCTCTTTTCACTTTTCATTTTTGTGTGTTCTATGCAAACTTCCAGCTTTCCATCCATTTACTGTCACTCTACATTTTAGTTTGGGTCACGAGGGGTGCTTGTGCCTATCTCCAGCTGTCTATATAATGTACCCGAGTGGCGGGGTACCCGAGAGGTGGGGTACACCCTGGACAGGTCACCAGTCCATCGCAGGACATAACAGAGACAAACAGGAGAATTTAGAGAAGCCAATTAAAC